CTTGCATGGTGGTAAAGATGCAAAAGATGCTTCAGGTTGGGAAATTCATTAGGAAAAATTATAAGAACAAAGGAAGAGCTAAAACGAAGGTGAGTAGGATATGTGTGACCTCGCGCATCTCTTGGAGGGAGAAGTTCACAACACTTAAATGTGTGGATGCCTTCTAACTGTATAGACGCGTTTTGAAAATCATGAGTACAGAGAGTGTATAAAGCGAACAATATCTACACAGCGGGACGGTCTCGTGACAATATGAGATTTGACAAATAGGGATTCATTAGTCTCCCCACATTTGAGTCAAAATGAAAGAAATATGATGGTGAGTCTGCAATATTTTTTTGTGCAATTGCAGAGATGGTGTAAGAACTTGGATTTCATGGATGGTGTGGTGATTGAAGAGGAGGTAAACCATTGCTCAACCAAAAATTAAATTATGTTGTGTAATGCTGGCACATGCATAAAGCTTACCTGTTTTTAAATTAAGTGCACTTTTGCAGGGTTGGATTATTTATTTATTAATTTTTACTATTATTTTTGGGAGTAGAGAGAATTATAGTAATAACTCATTAATAAAAGTCCAGTAGAGTATCAAGGTGAATATTCTGTTTTGTCTAACTATAGAAATCTTGAAATTTGTTGAAGTGGACAAGACTAGACACCTGTAAAGCTGAACAGTTCAGCTAAAAATTCTTCTGGATGTTTGCTAGAAAATTTATGGTATAGAATTTAGGGGTAGCGAAATAGGTCAGAAATCATCGATCTGTCCATATTCGTGCGTTTTTAATGGTTGTGGGTGAATCATATTTAATTTGAGGGTTAAGATGGGTTGAGTAATTTTTAACCGCTTAATTTGAGGGTCAAGATGGGTTGAATATGGTTAACCATATTCCATTTTCAACCTATATTTCACCCATCACACAATAAACAAACAACACACATTTATTATATATTGCACTCAACTCATTTTTCTCTCTAAAATTTGAGGATTAATGGGATGTTTGAGGATTAATGGGTTGTTTGACTTTGGTTGAGTGAATGTGGGACTCTATTGAGGATTAATGGGATGTTTGACTTTGGTTTTGGGGTTTTAGGCATGAAATGGTCGTGTTTTGTGTTTTAAGGAAGTAAGAATTGAATAGAGTAACATTATGAGTTATTTACCTGGTAAGGGTGTTATGAGGAAGTTAGAGATCTTTTGTGCAGGTGGATGAGTGTGACGTTTGGTTTTATGTCATTTTTAACTTGTTATGGGTTGTACAATCGAGGAATTATTGAGATTCTCAGAGCTGGTAGATGACTATATAGTCTTTGAGGTTACGTATAGCGGTGGATAGATAGTGAGTGGATCTCATGGTTGTTTTGTGGGCTCTATGAGATTGTGTTTGAGGTTTAGACCTGAGGATAGGAACGAAATCTATGTTGAGACCGGATCGAGGATTAGAATGGCCTGGCCAACCATTTCTCATGAATCAATCCCTCTTTAGCACGATGTCGGGTCAAAGGTTAACTATTGTTTCGTGTTGTCACGAATAGTGAGAGTATAGTATTGGACGTGTGTCGGTGCAGTAGTGTGGATTCAGGAAGTTGTTTCGGGTGACGAGGTGTGTTAGGTGGGACCAAATATCCAATCTGTTTTATTATTAAAGATCTCATTTTGAGGATTTGTGTCCTAGGTACAAGATAGTGCGCTTTACTAATTTGGTGACTAATGTATATACAGTCATTGGGAGATTCATTATTTAATCATTTCGAAGTTATTAAGTGTAATGATTGTCGTATAATGTGATTAGTAATCGTTGGTACGGTTATGTGGTGGTGTAGCTACGTACTAAATAGCAAGTGTTTGGTCTGTTAGGGATGTATAGATTATAGTTTAGATTGGTTGAGGGATGGACATGATTCCTTGTGTGGGGATTAGTGTGTCGTTTGAGGGATGAGTGGAGGTTGGATGTTGTTGTGTTCCGGGGTTCTGTGACTGTTTTTCCTTTTGGGCTTTGGAGCCTTTCGTGGCCGTGTGAAGTAGACTGATGTCCGTTTTGAGTCAGACGTAGAGTCTAGTTGGTCTTGTGTTATGATGAGGTGAGAGATGAGTAACCGTGTTAGGTTTTAGTGGCAGTGGTGTGTGATTGACTGGTGACGTCCGGTGTCAAAGGCAATAGTGTTAATGAGTTCATGATTTAAGGGTTTTGTGAAGTGTTTTCGGAAAGTATGTGGCTATGGGCCTTCTTTATAAGTAGGGTAGATTTCAAGGACGAAATTTTTTTAAGGAGGGTAGATTGTAATATTTCCATTTTTCTTCATTTTTCATTTTTCTAGAATTTTGTCATTGCAAGGGTATTTTCGTCTTTTGTCGTTTTGCGTATCGGACACTATAAAGTGTGCCGATTGTGTCCAAGAGTTGATTGGGGCGTTTCATTGAGTTCAGGACTCTTTGAAATGAAAAGTTGGTCATTTTTGCATTTTTCAGTTTTTTAGGTCGGACGGTTTCGTGTGGGACCCGCTACCGGAATTGTTGCATCGGGGAATTTTGGTTGGGTTCATTTGCATCACATGCATATTTAATTAATGTGTTTATGTGAGTTTTATGTGAGTATGTGCATGTATATAATTGTGGTGGGAAATAATAAGAAAAAGGAAAAATAAAAGGAAAAGGGTGGAGCCCACATGGTTTGTTAAAAATGACCCAAGAGGCATTTTAAGCCTCATTTTCTCTTCTTCACTTTCTTTCTCCCACTAGTCTCTCTCCCTCCCCACTTTTCTTGCTTTTTCTTTTTTCTTTTTCAATCAAATCTTCAAAGTTTGATTTCTCCCTTAATATTTGGAATTTTTGTATGCCGTTTGCAGCAAATTGAAGCTCACGGCGAAATTTACAAGTTGATCGGAGCAATTTCTTATTTGGTGCACTCCTTGATTTTCAAAAAGTAGGGCAAATTTGGGGGTTTTACATCATTTTAAGGTAGGGGTTCCTAATCTATGACTTCTTAGGCCTTAGTGAGTCTATTCCTTTATGATTTGTGATTTTAGCATGTTACATTGTGATGATTTTTCCTTAAAATGAATTATGTGTTGTATATGAATTATATGCTTATGTGTATTAGATGATTTATGTGAGAAAGCATGCTTATCTATAAATTTTCATGCCTAGTATGTATAAATTGTTGAAATTTGAAGTATAGAAGCATGTTAAATTTGTGTGAGATGTAAAGTCCTTTTATTGACGTAGAAATTGGAAAGCATGAGACATCCATGCATATTATTGGGCATGAAATGGGAGAATTTAATTTGAACGAAAATTTTAAAAAGGTTTTTGGGAAAAGTTTGTGAAAACCCGGACGCCTAGGAGGCATCTAGTGGTCCGTGGTGTTAATGTAACCTAGAGGGAAGTTGAGCTACCTAAGCCCAGATGACGCCATGGAGGTGCCATGTAGTCGGGGATTGCTAACCAACTTTCTCCTCGTGAAGCTATAGAGGTGCTATAGGTCGGGTTGCATTGACGGTTTGGATCGATGAAATGGAATTGATTTTGGAAATTGGGGATAGACACTTCATGACATTGCATCTCATTGCACGGCATAATCTAATTATCACTTAGAATGCTGATTTTGTGCTTCGTTAACCGGTATGGCTAGACTCCGCTTCTATATATATATATATATTTATTTATTTATTCATTGTTGGGATCACTGGGCTTTAAAGAGGTGTGACTTAGGCACCTCCTATTGAGCTTAGGCTCACCCCGTTGTTATTTAATATTTTTAGGATTTGGAAAAGAAGTGGCGGAAGATCATCCACCACAGACTTAGCGTGGATTAGAGAATTGACCCTCTTTGCTATCTTTTGTAACCAAATTCCATCATGTAAAACATTAACTACCAATGTATCATTTTGTGTCTAACGATGTAATTAAAATCTCTATTTTTGTATATGATCATTTGGGGATGTATGAATGATAGTATTTTGCCCATATTGTGACTATTAAATGTATAAAACTTCTTACTTGAAAGTATGATGATAATTATGATGAGAGGATAGTGTTAGATTGCCGTGAATTTGGACTTGTTTTGATCATCAAGTGTTCCCACAAGTTGGCTCATGCGTATTATAGCATTTTTTATGTTTGGGGCTGCACATAGCAGCATCCCAGGGCTGTCGGCCGGCTAACAAGGATTATCAGCCAGCTGACGGTGCATTTTTGTTGAGAAGAACCATATTTTGGCCGACCGACCCCTTCTCATCAGCCAACCGATGCCCCCACTGTAGCAGTCCTAAGAGCATGCAAGTTTTGGAGTCGTTTCAGCCGACCAAACCTGTCCCATCAGCCGACCTGTGAAAGGCTACCAGCCGGCTGATCATCTCCTTTAACCTGTTATGTTTGACCAGTATTGTAAGACTGTTTCTTAAGGTATTTTGAGACCCAGGATTGACTAGTGGGATGGTTATGGACACGGGAAAATGATGGTATAACCTAATTGACCTCGGGTCATAGCAAGGACCCGGTTAGAGGTTTGGACCCACGGGTTCGGGTTGTTACACTTGTATTAGAGAGGTATACATGAGTTGGATTTAGGGCTGTAAATGAACTGTATTGTTCATGAACAGTTTTGGCTTAACTCGCTAAGAGTTTGGTTCGGACTCGTTCGTTAAGCAAACGAATTGAGCTCGAGTTCAATTTTTAAACTTGTTTGCTAAACGAGCCAAACCCGAACAACATAGAGCTCGAGTCGTATACGCTCATGAACATGAGCTCGTTTTAGGTTCGTTTGTATTCGTGAATACAAGTTCGTATAAGGCTCGTATACATTGTAAATTGAAAATTGCAAACTTTTATGAATATATAGATCATTAAAATGCATCAACTTATTTAAAAAAAAAAATAATAATATACAAATCAAATTTAAAAGTCTTATCTTTAAAAAAATCCTGTCACCTTACCAAATGCTAATCTTATCTCTTTGCAATCTCTTTGCCTTGTCCTTTAATCACTGGGTGGACTACCCAAGTTAAGAGCTGAAGTGTTAAGCCAAAGAATCAAAGGAGGACCCGTAAGGTTGACTAGTAATTATACTCAATTGAAAGAGAAAGACAATTTAATCAAAAGAAAAAGAAAAAAGATTAAAAAAAAAAAAATATATATAGAAACCAAACCATTACTCAAAAATGGTGACCAGACCTCAAGCTTCTCTCAATTTCCATCCCACTATACTATTTCTCTCACTCCTCCTCACTACTCTTCTCCATCTCACTCACTCCCAAAACTTGAATTATTCCGAGTACTACGACCTTTGTGAACCTTTTCAGTGTGGCAACATAACATTCAACTTCCCCTTCTCCTCGTTGGCCACCTTCGGCTCCCGTCCCTACGACTGTGGCCTCCCGGGCTTCCAGATCTCCTGCGACCCCACCTCCTCCCTCGCTGGCCTCGCTCTCCCCGGCCGATCCTACCGTGTCCTCGACATCTACACATCCGAAAACCTCATCACCGTCGTCGATCAGCAGCTCATTGACGACCTTCATTCCGGCTCATGTGGGTCCCTAGGAAACCTCTCCCTTTCCACACCCACTGATTCGCTATCACCTTTGGCACTCCCTACATGGGGTAACAACTTCACCTTCTTCAAGTGCCCAATTGAGGTAGAGACAATCATGCCTCAACAAATTGTGGGGAATTACAGTTGCAGTACTGATGAGGGTGATTATCGGGTTTATCTTTGGGATGCGCGAGTCAACGCCACTCAGTCACCGAGTGGGTGTAAGTCGGTGATGGTGCCGGTGTCGGACGCGAGCTTGTCTAGGTATGGGTTCTTGAATGGGACCAGCCGTAACCGTTCGATGAAGCTAGTGTTGGGTGTTCTGGATGATGGGTTTGCGTTAAATTGGACAACTCCTAGTGATTGTGAGAGGTGTCAAAAAAATGGAGGTGGACGGTGTGGATATGGCAGCGGCGCCACCGGCATCAACAACATAGTTTGTTTCTGTAAAGCGGGATGCGGCTCAGCCCCAGCAACACCACCAGTTAGGTCAGTGTTTCTTAATTATTGTACTACCAATTTTTTAAGAATCCCAAATGTTAAATTACTTTTACTTTCTTTATAACCAATTTTTTATTTGAAATTAATGGAGTAGGAATGTACAGTAATTAAAATAGGATTCTATTTCCAAGTTTGGAATAAATGGATTGTTATAGAAAGGAATTTGAAAAAATAAATAAATTTTCTGCCATTTTAGAATAAGAGAGTTTTAAAATGTTGTAATTGAGATAGGTGGTTTATAAAACAAGAGAAGTTAAAGTAGTTTGTTGAGGAGTAACTTTTGTAGGTTAAGTAGTGAGTTCACTGAGTTACTAAGTAAAAACATTGTAGTCTAATGGTACTTTTTCATTGGGTTGGATGGCAAAATATTTCGGTCCATTGGGTACTCATCCAATCTATCCCGATTTAAAACAATTACGAGGGTGGCAATTAAATGGTTTTGGGGCCGGAATGGGGGTCAGGATTAAAAATCCGCATGGTTAAGGTGTGGTGCCACGTTTATAGTGATAAATTACAATTTTTATATTTTGTTTTATATTCAATAATATGATGTATATATTAAACAAATCCTGATTTGTTTTATTTCAATCACTAAATATTATTTTATATTATTCTTATTTGAGAATTTCTATATGTTATTTTGATTTAACTACAATAATATTTAGTCTGAAGCTCCAATTGAGAAGTAAAATTTTATTTTTATCCGCATAAGAGAAAAAGAACTATTACTATAGTTAAAAATGTATTTCATTATTTACATTCGTTAGATTTGTAATACAATTATGAAAATGAAACTATTCTACAAAACTTGCCCCTGCCCTGCCTCCGGCCCGCCTTTTTTAATAAATGATTTTGAGACGAGAATGAGGGTAGCTATGCTCAATGGGGATGGAGATGGTATTCCCTGCCATCCCTACTTTCTCACCTTTCAAAATAGAAGGTTGAATGTTCAAGTTTTACAAGGGCAAAGGCAAAGTAGAATTTCAAAATTTTGAACATTATAATATTGTTTTTTTAATCTTATTCACTTTTAAAATAAAGTTATTAATTAGGTGATATAGGACCACACAGCCATATCTGCCTACAGTTAGCATTGTTCTCACTTTCTGTCTCCTGTCACTTTTCCTCCCCCAGAAGTAATGATGATTCCATGCCAGTTCCAGCTGATAATACTACTTCTGTGTGCGTGCGCGCGCGTGCAAGGACAGCTAGTAGTACTAACTGCATTTAGATAGTAGGAATGTTAGGTATGTTCTGTTTTTTTTTTTTAATAGAAATTATTTTTTATTTTTTTAACTAGAATAAAAAGGTTTGTTTAATCCAACCAATTCAAACTTAATCCAAGCTAGATAAAACAAAGGTCGGGCTTGAATTATGATCTTCATTTTATTTCATTTTCTCGGTGAAAATATTTTGCTTGGTAGCCATCATATCACAATTAATAGTTTTGTTTGATAAACTTTCAATACTCTTTTATTCATAAAATGTTGAATGTTTTCATAATGTCTCATCATATTTGCTTCTCTCAAATTTGCAGACATAAATCAAGTAGATGGAAGCTCATTACAGGTATATCCTTATCATAATTTGAACAAACCTGGAGAAAGTAGAAAATTGTATCTCATTTTATAGCAACTCATTATGCTTCAATAAATACTTCTTGTGAACATTTAGGAAAGAAAAAATACTTCTTTTGAACTGTGTTGAGCAAGCAAAAAGTATTTATTTTTGTCAAAACCAGACTCCCTTTATATTGCATAATCTTGACAGTTGAGTTTCAATTCAGCATTTCGATCAGTACTTCAATTATCATTTGGACTTGATTTACAAGACTTCGATGCCAATCCCACCTCAAGTTCATAGTGAGTTGAGTTTTAGTTTTGTTTCTGTGCATTTAATTCCTCATCGAGCTTTGTCTTGCTTGTAGGTGTTGCATCGGGAAGGTCTTTTGTTCTACTTCTTGTAGTCCCACTGCTCATATTCAAATATAAAAGGGGAAGTTCTGCATTCTTCGAGACAAAGGATCAAATCACAGATGGTGAGAGAAATGCAAGACAGTTCATTAAGAACTATCAATCAACTGTGCTGACCAACTATCCCTACAATGACATTAGAAAAATGACCAATGGCTTCAAAGAAAAATTAGGGGGAGGCGGCTATGGCAACGTCTTCAAGGGAAAATTGTCAGATGGTCGGCTCATTGCTGTCAAAATGCTCGAGAATTGCAGGGACAACAGCCACAATTTCATCAATGAAGTAGCCACCATTGGTAGAATCCACCACGTTAATGTCATACGTTTATTGGGATTTTGTTGGGACGGATCAAAACAAGCTCTTGTTTATGAGTACATGCCCAATGGATCTTTAGGAGACTTAATATCCAAAGAGGAGGTAAGTGTTTCGCTTGGTTTGGCAAGGCTGCTTGAAATTGCCATAGGAGTTGCACATGGAATAGAGTACCTGCATACCGGTTGTGACTCGCGGATTTTGCACCTTGACATAAAGCCTCAAAATGTGTTGCTGGACCAGAATTTCAATCCCAACTTTTCTTTTTGGGTAGTTGGTAGATTTAAAGAATATATCATGTGAGAGGTTTTATTAAGGGGTAATTTATCATGTGAGGGATCCATTAATGATTTTTAGTTTCATCCTAAATTATTAACCTTTTCTTCTCATTTTCCTTCCACAGGCTTGGTTGGTTCAATAAAATATGTCAATGAGAAATTTTTGAATATCCTCATAAGGAGGGGAATCTTGTGCCTTGATTTTCAATAGGTTTGAAAAAAACCTACCTTTCCTTTGGGGAGAGGAAGGGGTGATATCACAATTGATCATTTAATAAAGTAATGTAAAATTATTACATAAAACGATGTAATGCTATAAGACACATGTTATGAAAATGGAAAAATATTTGAATTCTAATGAGAAAATCAATTTCTAGTTTTAATAAATTTATTTATTTTTATATTTTAAAAGATGAGTAAGTACCACTGCGCTATGCAACCTTTGATAAATAATAAATTTAGCTCCAAAAAGTGCAAGAAAATTATTCAAATGTTTTTTTAAGTAAAAAATAGTATTACTATTTTGAAGACTATATTAATCTTTTTATAACAATAAAATTGACTATGAATAGTAATAATTTGAAAATATATGATTACAATTTACCAAATTTAAAGTTGGATGTTTGAGAGAAGGAGACAATATAAAAATATCTATATATATATATATATATATATAAAGGTAAGACATGTATTCTATATGTATACTTGACTCCAAAAAATTTCATATCAACTATTAATAAAATCTTAAATTTTATCAACTACTCTTAAAAATTATATATACAACATTATTTTTATAATGTATTTTTAATTATTATAATATTGTTTATTTCAATAAATATATAATAACAGTTCTCTACTCCTAAAAATTCTATATCAATTGCGAATAAAATTCTAAATTCTATCAACTATTCCTAGAATGATATATACAAAACTATTCTTATATATATAATGCACGTTTTACTAATCTTATTAAAAATAATAAAATTTTCTTTTGGCAATTAAAATAAAGAATGAAAACCAAAAGGCCGTGGCCTAGTATTTCTTAGCTAAAAATAATATGCAATTACAAAATTAGCAAAATACGTAATAATAAATAATAATAAAAAAATTTAGATATATATATATATTTTTTGATAAATTCAACCTCTTTTGTTTTTCATATTTATTATTTTTCTAATTTTAGAAATTTGTACATTTATGATTAATTATTATTATTATTATTATAATATATATATATATATATATATATATATTCGCAACATTTAGTATTAATAAGGAATCATCTAAATAGCAAAGTATTGTGCATAAATAAATGAAGAGATGAATATTTGGAAGGGAGACACTCAAATTCTATGGTAAGCGCGTAGGGTCACATATCTCAAGCCTCTTCTAGCCTATGACGAGAGAGCGTCTTCACAACTCGTCAACAAATTTTTTTTAATTTCATTCTGTTTAGCTGAAAATTACATCCTGACGAAGGCGAAGAAGAAGAAAAAAGGTGACATCTTTTCAGTGGCGACCTCTCTCTGCCCTCGCTCTGTAATTATCAAAAACCCTAGTTTTTTTGGTTCTCTCTATTTGACTATCTTTCTATGGATTAGATCTTAGACTTTTGACTTCGATTCCTGTTTATTAATTATTGTATTTTGCATTTATCCCGAGAAATAAATCGATCCAATGCGTTGAATTTTGTGTATAATTTGTAAAATCTCTTAGTTTTTCTCGGTCTGATTTTTTTAATTTTTTTATTCTTTGATGATTTTGATGGGTTTTTTCTTCGTCGTCTTTCAGATTGTGATTTGCAGATAAGGTGTTTGTCTTTTATTTGATGGTAGCGAATAGCAATTGAGAAGATATAGCTTTACAAGCTCTGGAGAGGGAGAGAAAAAGACAAGATTTTGAAGTGAAGAATAGGGAGGTGTGTTTACAGAAAGAGAGGGGGAAATGGGCGGTTCCAAGACGGAAGGGACTTCGGCCCCGGCGATTCGCCGAGACCCGTATGAAGTTTTGAGCGTGACTAGAGATTCATCCGACCAGGAGATTAAAACTGCTTATAGAAAGCTTGCTCTCAAGTAAGTTCAGCTAAATTTTCAATTCCATTTACTTTTTTTTTTTGTATTTCTGTGTTCACTTTAATGAAACCTTGTATGAGCACAAGTCTGAAACTTTGGGGATTTTGAATTGGTTTAATAAGCATGTATCCTCTTGTTTCTTGTGATTGGTAAATAAGTGCATTTGAATTTGATTATAAGTTCTTTGGCCCAGAAAAATAAAAATAAAAAAATTACATTTTCAATTACTGCTCAGTGGGTTTATTTTTAATGATCTATTACTTCATGGTAATCTAGTTGGAATTAGAACAATGATAGATATTTCATCAATGAGTACTTGAGCATTTGTGCCCAATTCTTTTGGCAATAGTTGTGATGATACAGGAGAAACAAGAAGAGGAGAGAAAGTCCCTTGCATTTACAATTAAGGTCCTTAAAGTTAAGTCCACACTTGTAAGCTAGAAAGGAAGGGAATGGAATGTGATGCTCATTTGAGCTCCCCATTCAAACTTTACTGTTTCGTTAGTTAAATAAAGAAAAAAGTTTAAAATGATCGTTCTCTCAGTATTGTAAGTAGTTGGAATGCCCATTTTCCACAAGTTAGGAATAATCATTCCAATCCATCAGATAATTACAATAGAACCAACAGACGGATCAAACACTCATCAAATTGATCAGTTTGGTCTTCACCAACAATATCTTTCATTCCTGGAGCCATTTCCGTAAGGGTCAGACCACTCTCATCTTATCTCCATTTTTTTTATTCCGCCTTTGTAACATTTGTTTTTTCCAAGAAAATAGGCAATCTGTTACGTTTAGGGTCAGCATCAGTTGCCATGGCTGCCAGAAACTATGTGGTGGCCAGTGTAAATTGCTTCGGGTTGCATATGGATCATCACCATCAACCTTGATTGGAAATCACCATTTACCACCAATAACTGCCATCCACAATTACCTCAAAAATTGTCATCACTACTAGTGTCCCCAAGACTAGCGTCCTGGCTCGACTTGACCCCAAAACAACTAGCACCGATGACCAGTCGTAGTTGCGCACCACATTCTCAAATCATGATCATTGTTAGATTATTAGGGAGAGAGTGTTTCTCCCATAAATGCAAATCACATTCTCATGCTTTTGCGACGATAGTGTGGTAGAGAGAGAGCCAGAATTGTGAAATTAGCTGAAAGTCAAGATGAAACAAGGGGGAGTCATTCTCCTTGATTCTCAACAATGGTAATGTTCCTGAAGATCTAGCAAGTGATGGAGAATTGGAGTTTTTGAAGTCAAAAGGAGATATATATATATATATATATATATATATATATATATAGATAGATAGATAGATAGATAGATAGATATATTTTCATGCAGGCAAAAGAGTTGAAGGAGTTGCAAAGTGAAGGCAATTGGTAGTGATGATGATTTGAATATTGGGACCACTGATAACGCCAACTAAATTATGTGTCTATGAAGAACTTGAAGATGCAGAGCTTGGTGCCATTAACTCCACTTATTATCCTTGGAAGACTATCTTCCCATTAAGTCGGTCTATCTTGATTTTAGCTTAAGATATGATTTGCAAAATTATTGATATTGCAATGTTATTTTAGTATGTGAAATTTGTATGCAATATTTCAGGAATATGTTATACAAAATTTTACTGAAAGAAAATTATAATAAAATTGTAGTTCACTATATTTTTATAAAGAAAGAAGTTCCACTCATTATATATGTATGATGAAATTATTATAACATTGGTAAAGTGTCATTCCTTTCCTTACCGAATTTTAAATAATAGAATGTCAAGTAGCAGCTACAAAAAAATGTCATTCTGTTAATTTAATTTATATTATGAATACAAGGATACTTCGGATAAACTAGCTTAAATTTCATTTTCAAATTCTAAACTTGTTTAACCAAACACTACGAATGAACCATGATCAAGGTCATAAGGAAAATTCCAGTTGGATAGGGAGCACCCACTGGTAAAGCCATTGGCTAGATCATTTCATGTCTGCATTCAAATGACCATTGCATTCTTGCATCTTTTTAATTTGGTTTCATACTGTATTCCATTACTTCGAACCAAACCTAGCATAAAATGAAATTAGAGTGGAATGAATCGTTTATTTTATTATTATTTGGGTTGAAGAAGGAATGTGTAACTCTTCTATCATTTTTGGTGTAGATCTCAAAGAATCCCTTTGAAGGTTACTGTTCTCTCTTTTCCTGTTGGGTTTCTTAACTTTCTTTCATGTCTGATGAAATTCTTTTGCTACTGTTAGCATCATCTTTCACAACCGAAATCTGATACAAGGCTTGAATTCCATTGACTCACAAATCCGAATTCTCCTTTATTTTGATGACCAATCACCTTTACTCATAGTTCAGTCATAGAACACAAGAACTCTAGGTTGTCCTTCATCATGTGAATTACATTTTTGTGTTTTTTCCCTGTTACTGAAATGCTAAATTATTTATTATGTATCAACACTGTTATTTCTTCCTATTTCTTAACAAATGTAAGTGATTAAGGATACACATATCACCTGTTTCATGCTTGTATTATCACTGGTTTGATTATGATGATGATGAAACAAATGTCTTATGGATCTCATGTACTTGGTAAATTGTCAATCCAAATGCTGGACAGGTATCATCCCGACAAGAATGCTAATAATCCTGAAGCTTCAGAACTTTTCAAGGAGGTTGCATTTTCTTACAGCATTTTATCCGATCCAGAAAAAAGAAGACAGTATGATAATGCAGGTTTTGAGGTGATTTTTTTTCTTTCTCTGTATTAGAGTTGATATAAAAAAAAAAAGGGAAAGAGATCTAAAAATCGAAAAGATATTTTTCTTAAAATTCTTGTTTGTTTCACTTATATGGTACCCTTCTGGCCTTCCTCAAGGAATATTATATTTATATAAATTTATATAAGTACTAAATATTCTGTTCTAAAATGGTTTGGTGCTGGTGTAATCACTTAGAGATGTAATTCTGTTGTCACGGGGGTCAGAATTTTTTACTGTTTTCTTTCTTGAGAAATTGTTTAATGTCAGTTACATAAATATTTTTTTTTTTTTTTTTTTTTTTTTAATTTGATTTTAAAATATGATTTTCTCAATGAACAATTATTACTAGAAGCACATCTCTGGCCTTCACGGTCCTCAAACCCATGGGAGATAATTTGAACATTGATTTTGTCATTTGGTTACTTTAAATTAATGAGAAAAGTCGTACTAAACTAATTTAAAGCAAAAAAGATGAAGAATGAATAATTCATCTATAATAATGGTTATATCTGCCATGTACTCTATGTGAACTCTATCTATTGTAATGCCACCTTCATTGTGCTTGGTTTACCATGTAAAGTTTTGAACATGTCATCATATTGCACTCATAGGTACTGATAAGAAACAATGATATTAGGGTTGGCTCTTTTGTCAGTGAATATCAGAAACAGGAGCCAATTGGGATAGCACTTGTATCGGTGTATGCTTTTTCTTTTTCTTTTACTTTTTTTGGGTACATGCCAAAAACAGAAATGGTGCAACTGTGCAGCAACAAATAAAATTCTGAAGGCCAAAACTCATAAACATTAAACGAATACAATATATTACTATGGTATAAGGATATAATTCCAATAAAGGTGCATGTGAGGTGAGTGCTGAAATGAGCTGGTTTAGAGACAGTTAAAGAGGAGGAATAAGAGCCGCCTCAGTGAGAATATTTAAGTTAGTAGAAGCAAAAGAAGCTAAATAATGGGATTAGAAGTAGCAAATGCATATGGACTTAGGTATTTAATTGATTGAAACTGAACTGAAAAGCATAAACATAAAAATATAGAATTTGATATTTTGACATGGCATGAGGATATGTGACCCCAATAAGATAACGTTAGTGCTGAAATAAGTTGGTCTAGATGCAGGGACGGACCCACGTAGTAGTCAGTGACTCAGTGGGGGTGGCCGTCCCCACTAACATTCTCTTCATATTTATTATGCATCTAAAATTTTGCTAAAATTCTAATAATACTCCTACTAATATTTTTGATAAAATGCCCTATACATAATGGTCACCCCCAGTAAAATTTTCCGTATATGTTAGCTTGATAATACTTGAAATAAAAGTATTTACCTAGGAAGCACCGATACGGATACGGGTGCAGATACGATACGATATGGACACGGCGAGACGCCAAATATATATATATATATATATATAAAACAGGATATGGGTACGGCGGGATACGGCAAAAAAATTAAAATAAAAAAACATTTTTATCAGTTTACTGTAATATTATAAATCTAAATGCAATCATTAATAAAACACAGGAGTTTGTTAGATAACACATAAAACAACCATCCCTATTCATCACTTAGTAAATTTTGAACTTTTCTTAACAATTATACTATGTTATTGTAAGAAAAATTACATTTTAATGCTCAGAACTTGTTAAAAATGTGTTATGAAGTAACTGAGAAGTATTGAATGCGTGTTATAAATAAAAATTATGGATATTTAAGAAGTATCGAACACGTATCCGCTAGTATCTGAAGAGTATCGGTATCTGATACGTGTATGTCGCTATAGTAGAAGTATCCGTGCTTCCTAGGTATTTATCTAAACAACTAATTGAAATGGAAGTATGAGCAAGTTTGAATAAATGTCAATTAATTTTTTATTTATTTTTGGTTTGTTTAGTATGGTAGTTTGAATTATTATTATTATTTTTTTAATTTTTATTTTGTGTTCAAGGCTGCCTCCTCTCAAAAAAAATTCTGGGTCTGTCACTGTCTAGATACATTTATAGTGGAAGAATATAATCAGTATGACAATGCAGGTTTTGAGGGCATTTTTTTTCTCTGTATTAGAGAATTGAAAGGAAAAAAATAAAGAGGAAAGAAAACTGATCTAAAGATCTTTAATGTCGGTTGCATATATATATGTGTGTGTGTGTGTGTGTGTAATAAAATTATGATTTTCTCAATGAACAATTATTATTAGAAGCACATCTTTTGCTTTAATGATCCTCGAACCCATCGGAGATTGTTTGAACATTGAGGTTGTCATTTTGTTATTTCAGATTGATGAGAAATGTCATACTCAACCAATCTAAAGAAGAAAAAGATAAAGAATGAATAATTCATCCATAATAGTGGTTATATATTCCATATACTGTATATGAACGCTATATATTGCGTTACCACCTTCATTATGCTTAGTTTATCATGTAAAGATTTGAACTTGTCATCATATTGCACTCATAAGTACTGATAGGAAACAACAATATTGGGTTGGCTTTTTTGTCAGGGAATGACATAAACAGGAGCCAATCAGAATAGCACTTGTATTGGTTTTTTATTTTTCTTTTTTCTTTTTTTCTTTTGGGTACTTGCCAAAAACAGAAATGGTGCAACTGTGCAGGGACAAAGAAAATTCGAAAGACCAAAACTTACAAACATAAAATAAAAGAATACAATATATTATATATGGTATCAGGTACTTATCAAAAAATATATATATTATATACGGTATAAGGACATAACTCCAATAAAAGGTGTATTTGAGGTGAGTGCTGAAATGAGTTGGTTTAGATACAGTTAAAGAGGAGGAATAATAGCCTCAGTGAGAATATTTAAGTTAGTAGAAGCAAAAGAAGCTAAAAAATGGGATTAGAAGTAGTGAATGTATATGGACTCAGGTATTTAATTCATCAAAACTGAAGTGAAAAACTTATACTTAAAATTATTGAGTGTGATATGTTGCCATGGCATGTGGACGTGTGACCCCAATAAGTTAGTCTTGATACGTTTATAGTGGAAGAACAAAATAGCACGACTGAGAAGAATGAGTTATACGTGCAAATGTATCTATATATACTATTAAAATTTATAAATAATTTGACAGAATTGAAGCCATATGAATTACAATTGATATTTTAAATTGTATACGGCAATGCCAACAATAGAGTTTAAATTCAAAACACACGTTCATGACTCTTTATATGGGTTCTCTGGACCTAAGTTATTTGAGAGCTGGTGTTTTTGTTTTCTTGCCTCTTGCTGCCGATTTTTCCTCCACTTGATTCTCTGGCTGTTTACTTTGTAACCTCATAATTCAATTGACAGCAATGTGTCTTCAAATTAGAATGTGGAGAGCAGGATTTTTACTTCCAACCACTCTTTTTCTAAGGAAGAGGCGCTGGAGATGATAATACTTGCAGTCAACTGCACTGTATTGAAGCATATATCATGCATGTGTCTAGTTAGTAGTGGTGAACCAGAGTTCATTGATTCTAAGTTACCTCTTTCTTGTGACCATAAGTTAATCCATTATATGAACTTTTGCAGCTATTTATTCATAGACCGCTGTATTTTTTTCTAGTTTCATTTCCTTTTAAGGTTTTTAACCAACTATTTTGAAGTTTTATTGCTGATGATTTGACATGTGATAATAAAATTAAATAAACAGGCTCTTGATGCTGAGAGCATGGATATGGAAATTGATCTATCTAACCTTGGAACAGTCAATACAATGTTTGCTGCACTATTCAGGTAATTTTCTTTTTGCGATGGGAGAGCTTTTTAGTATTACTGTGGCTGAATTTAGTTATTCTTTGACTTGTTAAAAAATAAATAAAAATAGGTACTCTTTGTTTTGTTTACAGCAAGTTGGGTGTCCCCATCAAGACTACTATTTCTGCCAATGTTCTTGAAGAAGCTCTGAATGGAACTGTTACAGTCAGACCTCTTCCAATTGGAACATCAGTTAGCGGAAAGGTGCTTGCTTGGATTTTATCAGGATAAAGCCATACTCTTCTATTGTATTCCTTCACTCATTTTAAGTTTCTATACAGGTGGAAAAGCAATGTGCCCATTTCTTTGGCGTAACTATCAATGACGAACAAGCCGAGACAGGGATTGTAGTTAGAGTTACTTCAGCTGCACAAAGCAAATTTAAGGTGAAAACACCTTCAGAACCTTTTACTGAATTGCCATGTGTGCATTTTGTGAACCTCTCTCTCTCTCTCCCTTTCTACCCCCCTCCCTCCTTCCTTCCTTTTGTGGTTGCAAACTGCAGTATTGAAATTTCTATTTACATTTTTGTATTATACAGCTACTATATTTTGAGCAAGATACAAATGGTGGATATGGTTTGGCTTTACAGGTATTATGTTTTCCAGTCTTTTTATTATTATTATTATTTTTCTCTTGCACTTTTATGTTATTTGCCAACACCTAGTTCCTTTTGCTGTAAAATTTTGTAGATAAACTTGTTATATGTTAACAAGAGTTGTAAAAAAGGTTTATAGTATATCTATATGCATGTATTTTGTTGTTAATTTGGTGTTTTGGTTTTGTCTGCTGTATAATTGGAATTTTGTTTAATTATCAAGATAAATCGTAAAAGTTTTATTTATTGACTAATATTCTAGATGTGTTTTTTGAGATCAACTAAATGTAAAATGCTCTGTTGTATCGTATCGTGCACTTTACTGAAGGCTAGGTAACCTAACCTGGGCTCAGAGAACATAGCTTTGACAGGCAAATAGTTGTAGATATTTTCTTTGGAACATAAAAGTCATCAGCATGGAGCAGAAGTTGTTATCTTCTCTCCTATGATGCGCAGTGGAGCCAAAATTAGTTCTGGGATGATCACCCCTTGTATTTGGTTTACTGAAAAGACTTTGCTCCTTTCCATAGTGCTTTTAGGATTAAAGAGCTGTGTTGAACTTCTAGTGCTCCTTTTTTATAGTCCTGTTCTTGAGATTATGGTTCATTTGATATTAAGCTTGCATCTAAAATAAATCAAGGAAAAGTAAAGCAAACCAGGAACAACCAATGCCAACTTTTTACGTGGTGGAAACCTAATGAGGGAAAACCACAGCACCTAGTTCAATGTTCAACAATCCACTAATAAAAATGTAGAGTGTTAAAACCAGATATTGACTCCATCCTAGAAACACATTGTTGGTAAACCCTAGCAACATTGTTCCTGTCAGTCTAGAGTTCTCTTCCAAAATCACCAGGCATTACTTTCTCACTAACATAATCGCTATTCCACAACTGGCCTTCTTCCACAGTGATTGGTGGGCCTTTCTCTTCTGTGACTCCTTCGTAGGCAGCAATGACTCCATGCATTCACAAGGAGTGTAGTCATGGAAAAATGTTCAGTTGATTAGTCTTCAAAGTATTTTGATTCCTTTTGATTCCAAATCCCATGTTCCGTTGCTGTTAGAATTGAACAAATTCAACGGAATTTCCTTTGGGGAGGAAGGGGAGAAGAGTTCAAGTATCACCTTGTTCGATGGGAGCAAGTCTGCAAGCCTATAAAACTGGGGGGTCTCGGTATTAGACGATTGATTCCTTTTAATCAAGCCCTTTTGGGTAAGTGGTTATGGAGATACAGGAAGGAAACACATCGCCCTTGGCGTAGATTAGTTTCTTGCAGGTATGGGGATGATGTTGGAGGATGGACTACACGTCCGGTTTCTATTGCGGGAGGAGTTGGTGCTTGGAAATCCATTCGGAAAGGATGGGATGCCTTTTCTCCTCATGTTAGATTTAAAGTTCGTGATGGCAGTCGCGTTCGTTTTTGGGAAGATCTTTGGTGTGGACATCAGCCTTTAAGTCATACTTTCCCTAGATTATTCAGTATTGCAGTTGATAGACATGCCACCGTAGCTAACTGTTATCAGCTTGATAATAGTGGAATTACGTGAATGTTCTTTTGCGGCGTTCTTTTCAAGATTGGGAGTTAGATGATGTGTGTATTTTCTTGGATCAATTGCATCGGCAGGAAGGAATTGGCAAGGGTTATGACAATTTGATTTGGATTCCCTCTTCTCACGGTCGTTTTGAAGTAAGGTCTTTGTTCTTATGTTTGTCTAATTTCGCACCCTTGATTTTCCATGGAAGACTATTTGGTGTTCTATGGCTCCTACTAGGGTGGCTTTTTTTGTATGGACCGCCGTTTGGGATAAGATTCTGACGATCGATAATTTGAGGAAAAGGGGAAATTATTTTGTTAATTGGTGTTGCATATGTAAGCAGAATGGGGAGTCAGTTGATCATCTCCTAATGCATTATTCTGTAGCGCACGACTATTGGAATCTTATTCTTGGGCTTTTTGGCATGTATTGGGTAATGCCACGTTCTACTAAGGAGTTGATTCATACTTGGAGAGGTTGTCGTGTGGGTAGAAGTGTTTGTGATTATTGGAGATCTGCACCGCATTGTATTTGGTGGTGCATTTGGAGGGAGAGAAATAGTAGAATGTTTGACGGAAAGGAGTCATCTACAGCGACACTGAAACTTTTTATTATTCGTTCTCTCTTCAGTTATGTGAACAGAAGATCCTGTTCCTCTTCTGATGATTTAATTTCTTTTTTGGATTCTTTGGGGCCTTAGTTCCCGGTTTCCTTTATGTCTATGGAACGCGTTCCCCTATTGAATGCCTTTTTTAATTTATTATTACTTATCAAAAAAAAAAAAAAAAGTCTTCAAAGTATTTTGATCTCATTCACACAAAGCATGAAGATTCTATGAGTTTTTTTTTTCTTTTTTTTTTTTTATTAGAAATTTGAGCACTTATAGAACGCCATTGTATATTGTTTTGATAAGGTAAATATCAGCCTTAATGTGTGGTTGAGTAGTTGATGTTGCAAATTAGTTGTCTTCAAATTAAGGGAAAATAGGTTTTCCAGAAGAGAGAAGTAGAAAACTTTCAAAGTGATCACATTGAATTCATAACCACAAGAATGCAATTTATTTCCATAATCAAAACCTACATCAATATTTACGCCAAAATCAATTTAAATTAACTTCAATGTCATATGAAATTTCCCAAAGAAAAACTCTACCCTTTTTTTCACGAAATTCTAGATTAATAATATCTGTCCAATAAAAAGCGTTTCAGTGCTGTTCGATAAAAAGCGTTTTAATATCTGGAACAGAAAGCAGTAGAGACTGAAAGGCCATTGCTGGGTGCTGGTCTTGCATAATGTGGGGTTGTTGGGAGGGGAAGGAGGCAGTTGAGATTCAATTAGAAGATTCTGTTGCATCTTTGAGCTAATGGTTCCGTAGTATTTTCATAAAAAGCGTTTCAGTGCTGTTCAGATGGTTACTTTGCCTCGGGCATTTTGTATCATGCAATTGACTGTATGAACATATAAATGTGATGTACTGTCTCTATGTTCAGGAAGATAGTGAGAAGAGTGGAAAGGTGACATCTGCGGGGATGTATTTCTTACATTTTCAAGTGTACAGAATGGATTCAACTGTGAATGCAGTATGTGACTTCCATTGCCCCTTTCCATTTTCTTCTGAACTGGTTTTACATTGCTGGCTTATTAAGTGATTATTTTGTCCTCGTGGTGGTGCAGTTAGCAATGGCGAAGGACCCTGAAGCTGCTTTCTTTAAAAGGTTGGAAGGCCTTCAACCTTGTGAGGTCTCAGAGCTAAAAGCTGGCACTCACATATTTGCTGTTTATGGTCGGCACTGCTTTTGAAGCCTGTGTTTTATTATTTTTTTCCTTATGATTTCTGGGGCAATTTTATTTGTTAAAAAAGCTTGCATAAAAGGGAGAGAAGTGAGTTGTACTTTAATTTTTACAGGAGATAACTTCTTCAAAACTGCTAGTTATACTATCGAGGCTCTTTGTACAAAGTCATATGAGGATACAACTCATAAGCTTAAGGAGATTGAGGCTCAGATTTTGAGGAAGAGAACTGAGCTACGCCAATTTGAAACAGAATACAGAAAGGTAATAAATGCTTGTTTTTCTAGTGGTGGCTGCCATCAGTATTTGGCAATACATGTTCCTTTCATTTGGTTCACATGCTATATTTTGTAGGCATTGACACGCTTTCAAGAAGTAACCAACAGATACAGCCAGGAAAAGCAATCTGTAAGTTTTGTTTGATCATAACCCTCGTAAAATTGTGATACTTGAATATTCTGTGCTTCTAACACCAACTTTGTTCCCCTAATATTGTTGTTATGCCACTCACTATCCTGGAACACAAACAACACCTGCCCTCTCCCCCCCGCAAAAAAAATATATAATAATAATAATAATAATAATAATAATAAAAATAATAAATACACATGCAAACTCATGAGCACCACTCTATTGCACCAAACATTGAATACCCTCTGTATTTGATTTTTCACTTTTAACCCACAGTTCAGTGCTGAATTATAATATTCCAAATCATTCATTTAGTTGTTATTTATGTCTTATACAATGTAGCAGCTGGTATACCTTGATCCCATCTCTTTTTTAATAAATATATTTGATGTCTCCCAACAGTTGTGGAGCTCTCTCTTATTCACCATTGGGGGGTTGTTAGGGGGAGAGAATGAACTACATGCAGTTTAGAGAGCCACCATTGTTTTGCATTCTCAAGGTGGCAACCTATATGGCATATTCAGCCAACCACATGACCTCTCAGCAGAAACTCATGTGTCTTTCCTGCAACGTTATACATAAGATAGCCATGTCCATATCTCCAATTAATAGGTGGATTGGTTCTCCATACAACGACCGCACACCATATGACCAAACCAAAATTATACATCATATGGCCTGCTCCTTGACTTCCACCTAAACTGGTCCAACTATGACCTCCATCATCTTGTAATATATCTCCGTCATGTAATCGTCCACATGAACCCAAATATCCAAACAATTGCTTAAACATTTTTTTTTTCTTGTTAATGATAGTCTCTAGTTATACATTTTCTCCATATTTTAGTCACAAATATTGTGTTTCGCAAGCATAACTATTTTCTGATTATGGAGAACAGGTTGATGAGATGCTGAAACAGCGAGACAGTATCCACTCCTCATTCACCGTAGGCAGGTCAGTCATCATCAGTAGTGGCAGTGGTACTCACGTAGGTAATGGCAGTAGTAGTAGCAAAGTTCCTAGTGAAGATTTCAAGGCCGAGAGCCCGGGGGAAGAGGGAAGCTCAGATGGGAAGGATAAATCATCCAAGAAGAAATGGTTCAATCTTAATAAAAAGTTTGGTTGAAAAGCGGTGGTTAGATGCTCTTACATTCTTAAATCATCTCTATGTGGGTTTGAATTCACTCCTTGCACTCGAAAACACTTTGGGCCACTGCTGTACCGCGTGTGGAAGGCTCACCTTGTGTTTCTTTCTTTTTCGATTTTTTTTCGTTCCCTTCTGGGTTCAGCCAAGGGTGTTGTTCTTTACTTGCTTGTGATGATCCATTTCTGCAAGAAATTGCAGAATATAAAGGTTAATGTATCTATATTATTTTTCTTAGTTATTTATTGAGATGAATTCATCATCAGCCTCCAAGCTCATATAGCTAGAACAGAGCTGCTGAAACTGTAATATTTGATTTGTTCATTGGGTTTTGTTGTAAGAAAGAATTCCCCATTTTCTTTTCCGATTCGAACATCTTGAAGTATAATTATCATCCTTGTTTTATTTCCATATGAATGGGTCGAATCTTGAAAACTCGTTTCCATGCGATAGAAGTCAATTGATTTGTACAAGCTACTTTGCCGTCCACATTAATCTATTATGAGGTAGAATCTCTAAGAATCTAATTTAAATATATAATATGTATAATGCCTTCTTCTTTTTTTCTTTTTGCTTTTTTATATTCTTTTTAATAGGTTAGTGTTGCATAAATCATGTAATTAATCAAGTTGCTATATAGTATAGTATATACTACACCTATGCCACTCTTACTGTATGATAGGCCAGCGTTAGGGTCTTCCTAACCTACATGTCATATAATATACTTAACAGCCCTATAAGTAGGTTGGAGTGTTGGACATTGACTATAGAAGGTAATGCTAATTAAAAAAATATTAAATTAAAATAGTAACTAACTTGCAATAATGGTTTATACTAATAGACCAGAACAAAGCCATCTTAGGTTATCTGTTTCGAGACTGGCTTTAGCATAAAATAAATCCTTATAATTCTATAAAATATAAGGTGGATGACTTAATGTACACACACAACTCACTTGAACTACATTTCTTATTAGTCCCAAACAACTTGTCTTGACCTCTGTTGAATCATTTGTTGTTTATGTTGAGTCCAATTGCATCTTCTTGGATTCTTTAGAGTTTATAAGAACAAATACCTCCAAAGTTTCAAAGATAGTTTATCTAAGGCCTATTATCATAGCAGCATGCCATATCATGTTCATAAGAAAATACTTAAACTCTTCTCTTGACCAAGTCTCACATGCATATTTATATGTATGTATATGTGTGTGTATATATATATATATATCTGTTTCTGTATGGATTTTAATTATACTTTATAATTGGCTAGATTCCTTCTTTACCACAATAGGTATGTCTATGTTTATGTCTTTTGTTGTATTGTTTGTTGAGATGTGTTATTTGTAGCCGTGACGGCTCAGCGTCAGTAACAATGAATCTACAGATTCAACGACTGATTAATTGCGGTTGCAATTATATTTAGCATTTTTATCGTAAGTTCTCAAAAAATGTCAAAATCACAAACAATTTATCAATGGCTCTAGAGCCGAGAGGCATGGGCCATTTGGTGGTCTAGTACAATAAAAATTCATTAATTATTGAATTTTTATCACATGGTTCAAGATTATTTAATAATTTCTCCAAAATCAAGTCTTATTGTGCATGCAAGGACTATAGATACGAGAAATTATTAAATAGTTTTGGTCCGTTTGGCAAGTGGTGGACCAGTTCAATTCAAACTCTTCGATTAAGAAAATGATCTCACAAGACAATAGTGTATTAATATATTATAAAAAAAAATCTCAATAATGGTTTATCATTTGTCAAATGGATCAGGACCATTTAATAATTTCTCGTATATATATATATATATACTTTGGTTATTGGGCGGACGTAAATTATACGTGGCACATAGAGTGACGTAGACAAATGGACGATGGGGATTGGCCGAATGTATCCACGTGGCATAAAAATGATGTTTAGCCAAATTAATCCGTAACTCAATGGACTAAACTAATCAAATAATTAAATATTAATTTAACCTAGGTCATATGCAGATGTCTCCCAACTAATGCCCTTTGCGTTACATGTTATGTGGTGTTCTTGTAGCCGTCTAAGTGCAGTACTTTATTAGCAATTTGACAACCCAACCAAAGCCACATTTGCTTTGTCTTATTGATTGACAAAGTCCCCAATCTCAATTCACGGGACTTTTCTATTTAATCTTATTTTAAACAATTAAACTAAAAAAGCCCTAATAGAATTCATTGCCAATGCTTTAAAAAATCTAGACATTCTACACTGTAATCTAGGGGCTTAGGCTTCATGTTTAATATTTAAATTAAATTATAATATAATGTTTTTATTAATTATAAGTCACTTCACATGACTTAAAGCTAACTCCACCCAACCCCCTACCTTTTTATTTAATATAAAAGTAGGTATTGTCACTTGGATTACATATACGTACATATATACACACACACACACACACATATATATATATTGTAGGGATTAATTAAAAATGGTTTGAACATATCCACAAAGGGGATTTGAACTTGAAAACTAAGTCACATTTTGGGGGTACCTAGTGAAGCTTTTTGGATCCTTCCAAAGTAATGGTTGCAAAATGGAACAAAAGATGATTAGAAAGTTAATAGGGATCTAAATGTCTCTTAACAATATAAATTTTAGGTTTAATGCTTTGTTAATATTTCTTTTCCATTGGTTGTTTTTCCTTGATAAGCACAACTTGGTGGGCCATACTTGCGATTTGGGAGATCTTAAATGATAATTATAGGCTATCACTTCAATCAACACCAGAAAAAAAAAAAAATGAAGGTATGATTAAGCTCCCTAAAAGTGTTTTAATAATAGATGGTGGAAACCATTAACAACAAGAGAAAAAAAACACTTTGTTTATAGACAGTTGTTAATGAATCAACCATGCTTCTGAAATCGTGATTGGATAATTCTATATATATATGTGTGTGTGTGTATCACTCTCGCTCTAAAATTATAAACTAGAGAGAGAAAGAGGTTTAATTTGTTGATGTGGGGCCAGTAGCACAAATTTAGCGAATGTGGACCCTACCAATGTTTGTTTGAAGAGTGAGAGACCAACTGGATGCACATTCACTTGTGTTTTTCCCTACATCAATGGAGTGAACATGCATGTGCTTTTCTTCCTCCCTTCAAACAAATCTAAGCTCCTCTAAACCCTGGCTACCATGTTTCACTATATAATGCCAAGGAATTTTGGTTGGTGTGGGTCCTGTTTCCCTACTTGACTGCTCAATTGGAGGACCAAAAGTCCTTCAATTTCCATGGTACATGTGAAACTAAAAAAAAAAAAATTAGGGTTTATCATGTTGCCCGCTATTTTAGTATGTCAATATAGTGGACCATTAGAATAGATGTCATTGGTTTTTAATCATGCATCAACTTAGCCGGCACGTATTTAATTTTACAAAGAAAATTATCTTTATTTGATAATAAGATTCAAATAATACTTGGTCCAACTAAGATTCATCCAATCTGTTGATGTGACCCAATAAATTTAGAATAAATATTCAAAAACAAAAGTTAGGATTTATAACACATGTCCAAAAGTAAAAGTTAGGCAATGACTAATTTAATTTTAATACTTAGTCGCAATTTTATTAGGCCACATTAGCAAGTTGGATGAAATTCATCCAACTTGAATTGGACCCAAGTGTTGTTCATAAGATCCATAGGTAGTTAGATTTGAAATCTAACAATGTAATTGTTTCACATTATGATAACTCTTCAAGTTAATTATCATAGGGCAAGATATTAGTATTTGAATCCATATCTTACCCATTAAAGTTTTTTTCCCCGGTATTTCGGATGCAATGTCAACACATTTATTTTGAACTTTCATCGCTACAAAGGTGAAATTTCACAATGTAATGATGAAATTTCACTAATATTATGTTTGGGAATTGAATCGGTGCCTTGAATTTGAAACTGGAGAAAGTTTAGTTCAATATTTCGGATGCAATGCCAATTCGGAATTGACAAACATAATATAAGTTTTAATGGTAAAATTCAAAGTACAAAATGATATCGTTTTGATATATCAGTGACATTCATTTTTATGTGGAATAATGATAGAAGTTCGTGAATTCGATGAATCTGACTAATTTTATGTGTAGGAGCTGAAATCATCATGACGTCAAAAATATTAATGACATCATGATGAGGTCAGTCCCCGGCCACTTACATAAATCAATTAAGTTGTTTGATTTTCAGACTCTAAATCATTATCCTTTCATATGTATTGTAGAATTCGAACAGTAGAGGAGCGGGTTTAAATTCTTATGTTATGTTCGGTAAGAAAGAAAGAATAGATGTAGAGAAAAATTATGAAGGAAAGAATAAACTTTCTTCCTTCTATAAAGATGATAAAAGAAAAAAAATAATAATAATAAAAAAAAAAAAAAATGAGTCATCTAACCAAATTAATGAGAATTCTCATTTGAATTCTCTAAACTTTAGCTAGATGGACTTTCTGAAACTGAGATGGAAGTTTCCAACATGAGGATGACTCCTTTTTCGCACTTGATTGCAACCCTAGCTAGTTTTAACTTGGTTGAGCCCACTAGTGGCGTCACAAGGTTTGAAACCATGGGAGGGTTCACTAGACTTTGGGGGTACTTATGTCCAGGTGCATTAAACTTCATTTGGTGATAACCCCTTGGTAATGAAAAATAACAAGCCAAGTTCTTGTACATGTAAGCAAAGACAAGTTAGTTTTATGCAAATACTATTCTCAACAACCCTACTCTGAACTTCCAACCTTTATGAGTATGACCACACAGAGAAGGTCACTTCAATGCATTTCCTTTTGGGTCAGACCAACTCATAGAGCTAGTTTCTAACCTTCTTCCCTAGAGAGAGAGAGAGAGAGAACAAAGGACAGAAATCATTGGATCCCCATAATAAAGCAAAAAGGTACTTGGGTTTTGTAAAACATTTCCAAACTGATAGAGATCCTAAATCTACTACCATAATTTCAGGTCCCCTAACTGCAGCTATGCTAGGGAATTAAATAATCTTTCTAGATTCGTCCCATGTCTGATGTATATGATGCATGAATGAACATAAGATGCAATCATAATTTAAAAAGAAAAACTCTAATTTTTGGCCATATATTTTAAAGTTTATTTTTCAAAACATATAACTCTAATTTGATGGTCGGACGAGTTCAACTAATTTTATGCAAACAAGATTGATGCCATCTTGACGTTTGATGATAACTTGAGCCTCTACTCATACAAATAAATTGAAGTTAAAGGACCATTGAACTCTAAATCACTATTATTAAAAAGTAATAGTTTCTTAATAAAAGTTTGGGGCAGCAAAATATGAAGGGATTTGAATCTGGAATTTTATTTTATTTTTATTATTTACAAATAAATTTTGATAATTTTAAAAGTGCCCCATTGAATTTTTAAATATTCATAAAAGTCCTTAATAAAAACTTGTAAAGTAAAAAAATTTCCCTCATTTTTTAACTCATTTTTTTCAACAAGATTTTCAAAATTCAAAAGAAACACATGTTTAAGAATTAAAAATTTAAAAAAAAAAAACTTGTCCTTTACTATCGAATTTTCTATTATTTGTATTTTCTATACACAAATTTTAATAATTATAAGAGTGCTCTAATTGAACTCCTAAAAAAAGTCACAAAACACCATAATAAAAACTTTCAATAGTCAAAACACCTATAATTTTTTCTAATTCATTTGCTTAACAAAATCTTTAAAATTCAGAAAAGACATATCTTTACTCCTATGATGAGTTCCACAAACTTTTTAAGGATTAAAATTAAGGAAAAACCCATCATTTGCTATTTATTTTTTTGTTCCAATTTTCTTATTATGTTATTATTAATGGTTGCCCCACTCACTTAATTTCGGCCAGCTCTTCTCTTCGAATATTTTTAAGCCTCCATCTAACTATCAGAAATATGTCATGTCATCATGTGTTTAAGTAACCATTATATTTAATTTCAGACACAATTCAATTCAGACAAAGATGATAACGTGGTAATTTTTGTAACCAGTAAGCTTTTAGGGTTGAAGACAACTGGAGACAATATGAAGACGCAGACTGCTTGAACGTGACAAAAATAACTTGTTTGTGAAAATAACGTTAAATTGCCAGTTGTTTAGTAAACTATATATATAAATTTCTTACTTCTTATGCAACTTGATTATAGATTAAAGATTAGCCAAAAACAAAATTTCAAAATGATCATAATGATCAAAAAGGTTGACTTTTGAATTACCCATGTCATGATATAGTGCCAATCGTAGTAATTATGATTGATTACAGAATAATCTAACGGTGGAAAAGAGTAAGAGCTTTCCACCCAAAGATAATTGAATCATAGAGGTTCATGTTTGGGAAAATTTGACTTAGTGAAGCGAGGGTATGATTAGAACACACATAAGAAAAAGTGAGACAATGGTGGGTCATGTTTGGAGTTGTGGTGAAGACTTTGGAAGAGCTTTCGAATGATACATATATATTTATATATATAATTATAGATGTAGATACACACATGTGTATATATATATTTATATTTATATGCTTTATATGTATAGATGACCTCTCTTTCTCTCTCTTGTAGTTAGTAAGATTCGGAGAGATCTCTCCCATGAAAAGAAAACCATATAAATATAGATTTCAACGTCAATCACGCAAACATCCTAAACAATAATTCATCATCAGCACGTAATGGTGGGGTCCAAATTCAAGTTATAACACTACAACATTAATTCCTATTTTTTTTAAAATAAAATAAAATTTATTCAAGTTATTAAAAAACTTCTCAGGTTGAATTTATTCACGAAACTGCCATTGCCCAAAGTGAAACTATAGAGTACTAATAAAAACCCGTTGGTGTGAAGCACGCGTGTCCAGTGCTGAGATATGCACCACGGATACGATGGTGACACGTGGGCCATGCACAAGTGATTAACTTAGACTTAGGCTGTTGGATCTGAAACGTATCTGTAGAGTATAGACTATAGATAGATGGATTAAATACTGCATCAATATATATATATATATATATATATATATATTTCTTCGTAAATAATGATCTGAAAGACACCACCTCTTCAAGTGCTTGCATGCATGGGATGTTTTGACTTTCTAGAGAGAGAAAGGACAGAATTGGTGGGGGATATCGATGGATGGTGTCTATGTCTCCCCCTGAGATTAAAACCAAGCTAGCCTACTTTGGCCCTTGGCGTAACATATATGTATATTTATGTGTGGATTTATATATATATATACATATACATACAGAGAGAGAAGGGATGAGGCCAGGGAGCATTTTCGAAGAGCCAGGGAACAGAGACATGGGCTTCACGTTAGCACATTGGGGCTCGTTCCATTACATTTTCGAAGAGTTAGGGAATAGTACCTACGGATGACCACCATCTAAGACTAATTATGACAAATTTTCGATCATTTGTTACCATACGACATATGCGTGTTATAGTTGTGAATACAAAAACATCCTAAATTTAAAAATGTTCTTATGGATTGTGGAGTGAAGAAACTTGTGTGACAAAGTATGTGGTACAGTGGTTGGGTTGTCCACCTTTGATTGGTGGGCAATTTAAGCATTGTTGGCTAAGTCAGGCACTAATAGTAAGTGGCCAAACTAATCCACAAATGGCAAGACAATGGTCTCAAGCTTAGTGCAAAGAACCTCTTTATATTTTTAAATTAATTAAACTTACATAATTTAAGGACCATTATAACAATTGGTCACCTATGACCTTTTAAATAGTATTTATTTTTTTCTTGGCTTAATAAGAGGAAAATCGATAGCTTGATCATAACATTTAGCTGAGTTGTTATTAAAGATGGTACTATTATATATTAAACCTTAGTCAAATAAGTTGTTGTTCAATAGAATTAATTGTTATGGTTCACAAAGCAAACACAGAAGCTTTACTTAGAATACAAAGTTTCTATTTGGTTCATAAAAAATTGCATTAATTATTTAAGTATATTTTCTTATTTAATTATATATATAGTTATGTATAGTAAATGAGAGAGAGCAAGAAAAACATAGTGTTTGCTCAAACTAGTGTACAATTAAACTCAATCATTAGATAGTTCAACCACTCCTTGGCATTCACATGCATCACATTAATTCTACACCCAAAAGTTTTATTTACAACAAAATTACAAGAAACATCAAATGAAATGACATTACCCACCCCCATAAACATGTTATTATGAATTAATGAGTGATTAAGCTTCTTATTTAATTACAAGGGCATTATGGTAACTTCAAGCACTTAAGGGAAAAATACCCAAAGACAAGTGCAATCCACTGGGTCCCATAATGTTCTTGGGTCGTGTTCCCAATTACACTCACTTTCTTCTCCTTGGGATGTCCGCAACTATCTCTCTCTCTCTCTTTTTCTCACTCTCTCCTCTCTCCTCTCTTTCTCTCTCTAAAATTAAAAACCTTTTGAACTTGTATAAATACCCCCACACATGCAACAACTCTCTTGACATACCCAATTCGCATCTCTCACTCTTTCTGTCTCACTTTCAGTCTCTGATCCCTCCCACGATCAAAACCCACTTCACTTTCTCTTTCTATATATATATTCACTTTCTCTCTCTATATCTCATGGCGGAACTTGAGTACCATCAAACTAAACCAAGCAACAACACAACCAGTAATGGACGCTTAAAGCTGTTTGGCTTCAACGTGTCAGAGGACGAAGAGGTAGACTCAACCAAGACACCATCTGGGTCGCCGGAATCCGGCGGTTTTCCGGCGACGGACGGCCGGAAATACGAGTGCCAGTACTGCTGCCGAGAATTCGCCAACTCCCAAGCATTGGGTGGCCACCAAAACGCTCACAAGAAAGAGAGACAACAATTGAAGCGTGCACAAATGCAAGCGAGTCGAAACGCCGCCGTTTCCTACATCCGGAACCCGATTGTCTCGGCTTTCGCTCCGCCGCCGCACCTCCTCGCCTCGGCGGGATCGGTGGTGGTTCCGGCTGCGGCGGCACAGTCGCCGTCGTGGGTGTACCTCCCACGCGCGGCGCCGCCCTTCCACGTGTCGCATGGGTGCGTGTTTCCTTCCTCAAGTGGGAGAGGAGGTCCAGGGAGTTTAGTGTATGCCGGCGGTGTAGCGGAGTCGACCATGACGTCTGGGTCCCACACTCAGCAGGCCTCGGCCCATGGAAGAGTTGATGGGCCTTCGTTGAGTAGGTTCTCGAGAGGTGATGGTGAGCCCAGTTTTGATGACGCATTCGGCTTGGATTTGCATCTGAGCCTCGCGCCAGCCGCGCCATGAACTTGGCTTGGCTTGTTCCACTAGTTTGGGGGACTCAAGAGCTTATATGGCTTGCTTTGTTGGATTCAGCTGATGTTAATTTCCCCAGTCGGATCTTGTAAATTTTCAAACTTATTTATTTAATTTTTTCATGGAATTGAAGTAATCTCACTGCTACATGACTTACCAATCTACCATTTTGTTTTAGTACTAGTACTATACTATATCTATATATATAAATTCATATATATATATTTATATAAGGAGGTAAATTTACCTACATTTTAATATTTTCAACCATTGTATACGGTAGTTGAAAATGTTAGACTTGTCTCGAAATGACAGAAGTCTCTCGCAACATAGGATATGTGTGAATGTGAAATAATTAAAATGTGGAATAAGCATAAAGATAGTGGAGTAATAATAGAAAGGAATAGTAGATTCTTTATACTAGTATCCAAAGAGAAAAAGATATACTCTATATATATATATATATATATATATATATATATATATTATATGTGTGTGTGTGAAAAAACAAAGGTTTAATTTGAAGCTTTGTTCTAGAAATGGATATACCCTTTTAGGATGAGAAAAAAAAGGTCCCAATTGCTTTGTGAAAATCAAGTGTTCATTAATTAATTTCTTAACTTTCACTGTCTCAAAAGAAAAAGAAAGACTTAATCATTTGAATTTGTTTTGCAAATAGTTTTACCAGATGTTATATATGATTAGCTGAGGTTGGTTACTTTACCAACTTTCAGATTACAATCTTTGATGCAATTCTAGCCTTTAAAGCTACTTCCAATATTAATGTGAAATCTTCAACCATTTTTGGCCCCCACAAATTTAAATTTGGTGAGAAGATTCTCTTTAATTTGAAATCCAAATGTTTTAGAACTTTTGCACCTTTATATATACACAAACATACATAAACATGGATATGAATGGTTGTATAAAAAAATACATCATTGGACAATAATAAAAAAAAAATTTAAAATAGTAAAGTGTATGAAATGAAAAAATAAAAAATGTTAGCATATGACATGGTGGATAAGCTAGGAGTTGCCTGGTTTAATTTCAGAGATTGGTATGAAATGATCAATTAATTAAAATTTGTTCTCCTCTCCTTTGTATCCTAACTTAATTGATTGATCAAACAAGTGTCGTCGAACTTTATAACAACTCTGCATGGATAATTTAGTGATTAAGGAGTCTATTGGAACGAGCTATAAACTCGAACATTCTAAATTTAACTCTCACAAAACTCAAAAATACATGAGATAGAGTTGTTTGTTACGTAATATTGTTGATTTCACATCTAACACAACATGAAAGAGTTGCAGAAATCGTCCCAGTGGCTCCGATATTGTTCTAAAGAAGAACTCCATTTTGGAAAACATATAAATTACACTAGTGCAAGTCTTCAATTTCCATTAGAAAACCAGACATTTCCCAACTTTACAAGCCATGATCACGTGTTGTATTCTTATTTAATAAGGTTTCATTTTAATTTCAAACATTTTCTTACTTTCAATTTAAGGCTCCTTTTGTTTGGATGTAAAATATTTTTTATTTTCTAATGTTTGGTTGTCATAAAATATTTATAAAGAAAAAATATATTAAAATTTTACAAAAATAATTTATTCATCAATTTTTGGTAAGTTATTTTATACATCCCATCCGAAAGACTTGACCTTAACTTCAATTTAGACATTTGCCAAATATTGAAAAGTACAAATAAAAAAATATATATTTTACTTCGAAACAAACAGAGCGTCACACAATCATTTTCAACAGGTGTCGCTCTCACGTTTCGAGCACGCTCCTGATCTCTGCGTGCGCTCTAACTCAAATTCTTCCTACTTATGACTTAATTCTATCGCTCTCACGTTCCCGCTTTCGAATTCACGTTCCCGCTTTCGAATTCATTCTCGCTTCTGCTTTTACTTTTATTCTCACTTTTAGTGAGTCACAGTTTACGAAATGGACAATTATATTGGAAGTAGTAAATTTCTTTGAGACAAGAAATCATTGCATAAGTTGTAGCTAGCTAAGCCATTTTCTTGAAGTACTCCAACTAACCCTAATGTGGGGCCTATCACATGCAAACCAATTCTATGGAATTCTAAGGAGCTCCATTGAAAATGCAGACGACATAATTCAAGTGTCTGAGTCAAACACAATTCCCTCTTTATGTTTTTTATGGTTAGCAGGCAAATCTTAATGCTTAATGGGTAGCTGTCCCAAACACATTATACCAGCTCTGTTTGTGTCTCTGTGTGTGTGTGTGTGTGAGAGAGAGAGAGAGAGAGAGAGACAGAGATTGTGTTAGGAAAACAATGGGAACATTATATAACATTATTATTGGCTTCTCATCAAAGTTGTGGTAATTACACATGTATCTGCAACGTAGTAATGGCTTGTGTGTAGAACAAAGCTTACGTGTAAGCACGAAAAGAAGAAGATAATGCATGCCAAGCACCTAAAGCATCATTCTAAGGTTGCCCACAATTTTAAAACAGCTCAAAAAATGGTCAAAAGGGCAGATGGGTTGCCACTCTCAAAATGATAGCTTTTCTAGCTTTTGGTGCAAAGTGAAGATCATTAAAGGTGTTAATCATACATATATGTTTAATGTCCGTTTTCCATCAGCCACTCCAACTCCAAGGAGAGTGTGCATGGGTAATTGGATATATCATGCTCCTCCGTTCCAAAAAAATATTATTATTTTTTAAAAAATTAACTTTTTAGAGGATCATTTTTAATTTTTTTTTTTTATAATATCAGTAGTGAATGAATTACAAAATTATACATAACTGATTGACAGGAATGTGATGATTTACTTTTTATAAATTCAATGTAAGAAAGTTAAATTGGTAATGTTACAAATAATAGTACTTTGATTTTTCAAATAAAACATTTATTTTAAGACAACCAAATATAGAAAGATGGACATTCACAATTCGACAATTTCAACTATTTTTATTTGATTAAGGAATTACATGAATTCTATCACTGATGTTATTGATCATGATGTCAGTCTCCATTTACATTAAACAGTCATATCGACCGTAAGACCACATCAAAAAATTTAGTCATGTGCATGTATATGACATTTTTTAAGATATAAAATTCTGAAAATGCTCTTGTCTCTTCCAATAATGCCCTTGTATACACATATTTATATCTATATATGTACACACACTGAAGCCAGACACTGAAATCAGTTCTTGTGAGACCAAGCCCAAACCGGAGAAGAAGACTAAACTAATAATCTTCAATTCCAGCTACGGTGTGTTTCATTTTTGGCCTAACGATTTTCATTCTAACCAACTAGTGAACCCTAGTCTAAGAAAACTGTAGTCCAGTGTGTGTGCCTTAGTTCGGTGACCAACAGTTCCGGCGTTATAATCGTTGCAAACGGCAACGAGAACTTCAGTTGGTGCAAACAATAATGAGAGCTTCAACTACACAACCTTGGGTCACTGCTAATGAGCAACAAGCAACGGGTCGCTGCTTACATGTAGTGACCAGGCCGCTGCAACGTTCGACTTCCTCTCCGGAACGAGAGGAAGCCGGCAACAACCCGGTCTAGTTGCTGTTGGCGGCGACTAGCTTCATCGCCGACAACATGCTTACTGCCGGCAGTGATGAGAGACACTTTAGTCTATTTCACATTTAATTAGTTTTTTTTTTTTTTACATATTTTTTATTTAGTTAAAGGGACATTTTAGTCTTTTCAATATTTAAATTTTTATTTACTTCAAAATTGAATTTTACGGACTTTTTAAAACATATAAGGAATGATATGCTTTATATGGATATTATTGGAGTATTTTTTTTGCCCACTATCCAAAAATTATTGATTAATTGTAATCTAGCAATAAAAGCTGTGCTCATATCAGTGGCCTTGAATAATTATGATAAGAATAGAAGTATTTCATTGGTGCGGTGGGACTAATGGAGCTTAGATTCGACAAGGGAACACAAGATAGAATAAAATACTAGAGATTAGTTTGGATTGGATGCTTTACATGTCTTTTGAAATTTTGATTATATTGTGTGTTGATCTCTAGAGAGAGAGAGAGATTGAGGAAAGGAAGTATATGCAAAGCATAATCATGGATTTGAAAACTTGTGCACTAGAAAAAGTTTCTTCTCTTCCATGGAGCTTTTTGACATATGAGGGTATATATGGAGTACAAAATGCAACTCCAAAGTGGTTGGTGAGGCAAAAACTTAGAAAATCAATCAATCCCATTCCCACAACTTTGCCAAAACAAAAATATTAGCTGTTGTATTGGGGCCCAATAGTTTCCTTCATCTATGCATTTAACTGACACTGACAAGCACTTCACTTAATCAATCAAAACCTCTATGTTTCTCTCTCTCTCTCTCTCTCTCACACACACACACACACTCTCTCTCTCTCTCTCTCACACACACACACACTCTCTCTCTCTCTCTCTCTCTCTCTCTCTCTCTCTCTCTCTCTCATAACAAGTTTGGGCATTGGTAGGACTTGGGAGTCACCCTCCAATCAAGTTTCTATTTACAAATATAGAAATTAAAGCCAAAGGGAGAGGACATCTACCGACAGTACTATAATGCTTAAAATTCCATGGTAGTTAACTAGTCAGTCCTTCTGCCCAACTGATATATATATATATATATATATATATATATATCAGTTGTGAAATGGTAATATTTAAAATACTCAATTATATAACATATTGATTATTCATGTCTTGAATTTGAGACTTTTCGTTAGAGTATAATACAGGTGTTGTATTGTATCACATAGCTTTCTCCAATGATAAAGGACCTGGTTCAGAGCAATGGCCGCTTTGTGTCACAAAAGAAAAACGACGAGGTCAACTGACACTTCGGAAATTTTATATGCACCAATCAATGAAGTTTTTTTTTTTTTTGGGTACTAATATTAATAAATTGTTCAATCAGATTCTAAGAGAAGCTAGTGGTATGGTGACGAAATCACAACTTTGAGCTACCTTCCATTATAATTCTACCAAATTGCACAAAACTTAAATTTCATTAGAGGGTTGTTAGCTGTACTGTTCCCTGCATGCCTCGTGGTGATCTAATCTATATTACTTGAATATATAGTATATGGAATATTAATAATAGTTTATTTTATTAGAATAGAAATAAATTATTTTAATCCACATGGAGAATTAGTTGTTGTGATAGGATTAAAAAGCAACAGTAATACTAAATTATGCAGATGTTATGATTTTTTTTTTGGTTCTTTTTTTTTTTTTTTTTTTTCAGTAAATGATCGAAATTGATGGAGAATTACAAGGTGGAAGAAATATTTTTCCAAAAATTGGAGGATTTTACTGGGGACAAAACTTGGAAGGTGGAGATTTGGGGCAATATCGTTAAAAATTATTGTAGTACATGTCTATCAAATCCCAACTTCAGTACACCCTTTTACCTTTATATTTTTGGCATTCTCAATATTACGTGTTCAATACAAAACTCTAACATCCTTATATATATATATATTCGAATTACAGTAGAGGATAATTTGTATGTGAACACGGGGAATAAGAGTATAAACATGAATTCAAAGGAGAAACCATATTGGTGGCCACTCACTAATTAATAATTATAACAAGTTGTCATTCCTTTGGTGATGTGATCATAGCTTAAGTTCCAAAATTGCACTTGAATTAAACGGTACTTCAAACAAGTCTTGTCACAACTCATGGAAGAGAGAAAGATGTCTGCTTTTCCAATTAAGCCTCTTTACTCTCTCTAGTCTCCCTATGTAGAAAGACTTAATGTGAACATAGAAATTTGACAAGGACGGTTCTCTTTCATTCATTATACGTACTTAAAGTGTGTGTGTGTGTGTGTGAGAGAGAGAGAGAGAGAGACCCCACACTGGCATGTTCTGTGTGTGTGTGTGTGTGTGTATATATATATATATGCTTAGTTCCATCAATTGATAAGCTTGTAAACCAGTTCCAAAGATGAAGACCGATCAACTTCAAAGAGACCTTATATTTTCCCAATCTCCTACGCAAACGGCTCAGTTCCATAACATCAATCATCATGTTAGTACCATACTTCAGTTATATTGATTACATATCCCATAGTCATTACACAGTTATGTGTGAATGAACAATGTTACTCTAACCGATAATTTAGACTCAAAATAGTATCTCTCAACATATATATAGGTAGGAACATCGATCATGATGTTAGTACCATACTTCAGTTACACCGATGGATTACACCCATGTCACATACTGACTATATATATATTATTGTGTGAACGAACAATGTTACTCTAGGTGATAACTTAGACTTAAAACATTATCCAAAAGACTTTTATCTCTCAAATATATTTAAATGAGTCCCACTTAAAACATATATAAAGGTAGGTAAGTCTTCTTTTCTTATCTGAATGCATATGTGGTTAAAAAGGTTATGATGTGAGAGCTCCAATTTTACCATCTCCTAGCCAATCAAACTTTTGTTTTCAAAAATTACTCATCAAACTTTAATTCTGTGTGTTTTAAAGTAATTTATTTAACAGTTTACAACTTTATAAAGTTAAACCATATTCAGTGGTGGGCGCCTTTCCAATGTTTCTGGGAACGAATTAGAAACTCTTTAATGTACACTTAGTAATGACTTCCAGCAAATCAGGAACCTATAATTACTGAACGTGTATATATATATATATATATATATATATATATATATGTTTTTGGAATTTGCATCTAATTGATATTACGATAATGTATTGACGTGTTTAACTATTAATTGAACATGGCCCATTGCTAGGCTATCTGTCAACTCATTCTAGTTGATTCCATAGCTGGAATCCAAGAAATTTCGTTTCGTGGTCAATATTGGCATTTTCATGTTAGATTTGAGAGCAGGTGCTATTTATAGGTTTAATCAATCTAGTCATGCTATTCAAAAAACATCGAGTAAGTAGTTTTGTGCTAATAATAGAAACAGCATGTTACCTTTCCAAAAAAATAATAATAAGAGTTAGTTCACTAAAATCCAACGTTATTAGTTCAGATGTCATCTCTCTTATTCAAAGAGAAAATTGAGTTCATTCATTAAAATTCAATGCTATTAGTCCAGTTCAGCTGTCATCTCTTTTATTCAAAGAGAAAATTGAGTTCGTTCACTAAAATCCAACGTTATTAGTCTAGTTGTCATCTCTCTTACTCAAAGAAATATAGAAATGATACTTACACCGAAGAGGTAAACCGATTTCTCTGACCTAAATTTATGTGGCTGGTTATGTAAAAATGCCATGTCACAATATTTAAAGTGATAATTATTAAGTTTCTTTCTTTTGTGTTTTTTACTATCTTTTCTCATCTTCACCCCTAAGAGTCCAATTATATATATATATATATATATATTCAATTTTTCTTTGGTCATCTCATCGTTGTTCTTTTCTCATACTACCGGATACCTTCGTGTAATTGCACAGAGAGATTTGATTATGTTAGTGATGATGCCTACTTATAAAATTTCAATAAAATGAGACTCTTTATATATTTTTATGATAAAATTATCTTAATAAAATTAAATTGTATTATTGTAGAGAATAGATGTTAATAGATTCCTCAATGTTAATAGAGTTCAAAGTGATTTTGTGGGTACTAATCTTTTGATTTTTGACCCTCCATATACCTGTATTATCTTTACCTTTTAGGTATGGTCTCTTATTTTACGATCTATTAAACCTATCAAACCCATAAGTTTTTTTTTTTTTTTCTTAAGCCTACACGGACAAAATATTAGAGATATTTATGGAGAAAAAATTGGAGATAATTAAAGAAGCAACTAAATTCCTAATAGAAGAGGAAAGAGATATTTGTAGGAAAGAAAATGAAGATAATTAAAGAAGGAATTAAATTTCTAAGCTAGGGAATCCGAAATAAAATTAGAAATTCAATACTTTGTAATGAGTCAGCATGACCCATTGCTAAATTTTATTTGTCTTTTTATGCCACATAGATTCTGTCTGACAAATTGGTGTAAGTTTTCTATCCAAGTATCACGACTCAAAATAAATATTCAAAAAAATAAATATATTGTATATGCACTCGCGTTTGTTTGAACTTTCTATAAAAATAATAATAAATAAATAAATAATGCCTATGGTAAAATAAACCGCAATTTGAACCCAAAAATTTGTAATTAGTGAATATAGTTAGTAATTTTGGTGGGTTGAATATAGTTTCAAGTAAATCCTCACTTCAGTCACAACTGTGGTGGGCCTATCAGCCCTATCTCTGGTTGGGCATTCAGATTTCAGCGAGCCTATCAGGGCTCTAAGCACTAGCAAGACCGAAATAGACTAGACTTTTCAATCAAATAATAAACGTGTGTGTGTATATATATATATATCACAGATTGATGATTGGTGATTATTAAATTTGTTCCCTGCTTGAGAGGTTTATATTAGCTCCTCAAAATTCTAGCAGACAATAAAGTTGGCATGTTCTATGAACATTTGCTTTGACATTGATGGACAAGTTTGGAAGAAAGGGTAATCTAGAAACACATGTGCTGCCAAGTTTCCTTCGCATTAGGTATTTGATGGAAATCTTGTTGTGACCCTTTACAAGGACAACCACTGACCCTAGCTCTTTTCAAAGAAATGTGTGGCTTCATGCTTCTCAAAACAAATTCAGAATTCCAATCATGACTTCAAACAATGTACTCCATGGTCCCAACTGAGGAAATGGCGGGGAGAGACAATTGACCCTCACATTTCAATACTGGTGATCACATTAACATCAGCTGTATCCATCCATCATGATCAAAATTGACGAGCAATCACCAAAGTGGACACACTTATCTAAACCAAATAGAAACAAGATAAATTATAAAAAACCATCGATGTCAGAAGGTAAATCTCGGATATTTGCCAAGAGTTTTGTCTAATAAAATAGAAACCAGCCGGAAAGAAATGAAAATGATAAATAGTCCGAGAATCGGATGCATAAATGTAGTCGGGATTTGTCCAACTTTCAGACTCTTTATCACAACTCGGAAAGAAATAGCAAGGAGTTTCATCAAACAAGTACAATAAAATGGTTAACTCATAATGATCCGAAAGTCCTAAGATTTATTAATCAGACATTATATGATAAGGATTACAGAAACAGCAATTTCCTGCTTCCTTGCTGTTTTTGCTGGCACAGAGAGCCCTCAAATTTAAGCCATGCACTTGAATCTCCCTGGCGCTGGATTACAACAAAATAAGGATTTGTCACAAGTAAAAGACCTCCAAATGTTACAACAAGTAACAATATGTCATCACGTCTTCAATAATTATGTCGCTCCAGCGTAATTAGAGAAACAAAAAAATACGTGAATTGGGGCCAAAATAGGGTTATGCACCATCAGATTGACGCTGGCAATGTCTACTTTTCTTTTTCAGCTGGCACGCATGGTTGTCTTTGTTCAACTGGCACAGATGGCTGTTCTTGATCAACTCGAACACAAGGCCTCCATGCAGTTTCCTTTCCCACATCCATTAAAGCAATGCCTTTGGCAGCCAATTCACTTCTGACCTGATCACTCCTCGAGAAATTTTTGCTTTTCCTTGCCACTGTTCTTTCTTCAATCAGACGCAAGACGTCATCTTCTGTCATTTCTGCTCTCTTTAATGCTTTATCTTTCAACTGCTGCAGAACCTGTCCAATAAAATATGCCGACTTACTTTATGAATTTCATCATTAGGAAGAGGATTCGTATTTAACCATTATATATATTTGTGCCAGAAATTTTAGTAGCACCTCAGAGTAAGACAAAGCAGTCAGCAATCCCAGGGTGCTCAAAACTTCACCGACTTCTTTTTGTAATTCAGTGAGGGACTGAATCATTGATAATTGTTGTTGCTTCTGTTGCTTCTTCTGGCAATTATCAACATGAAAATCTTTTTAGTTACTCAACAAAGGACACAAAATCTTTTTAGTTACTCAATACCAGCAGATGTTGGAACCAATTCCAAATACCTTTAGCTGGGTCAAAGAACTGTTCATGAATCTTAAAGCTTCTTGAAGGGAAGCATTCAATATATATGGTGTATGCAAATCATCTGACATTTTTGTCTGAAAATCACTACGTAGCTTGTTGATGCAATCTTGGGCAGCAGGAGTAATCCGTGCTGTTTTGCCATTAGGTTGAGTTCCTTCCTTTTGGTTTCCATCTCGAAATATTGATAAAGCATCTTCACAATCTTGCAAGGTCTGTCAATTACAAAACCACTTAACATAATTGTCATCAAGACAATGTGCATATCGTTTTCCTTTGCTAGTGTGTGATGTAGGTATTCAGGGATAGTGAGACAGATATGCAGCATATCAGGGAAAGCAAAGTACATATTCAGTTCATGTTCAACTGCCATAAAAATCAAATTAAAATGTTGTATACCAACATAGACAGATACAGAAGAGCCAAGGCAATGTGAGAACAAAGTAACTATTATGAAGCTTTGCTACAGTCAAGGCCAAGTGAATCACTACATTTAACGGAACATTTGGAGCTTAGATATGCTTTCTATACCTGATATATATAGAAAACAGCCTCTGATGCAATTTCAATCTGAGAGATCGAATAATTAACAGGTGATCGATAGTGTGTGCCCATCAAGAAGTGCCTCAACGCTAGTGGATGGTAAATTTTAGTAACCTACAAAAAAGGAAAATATAAATAAATAAATAAACAGGTCAAAAATTATTGGGATAATTTAATAAATGACAACTTATTTTTGTGGACCTTGTGGTATTACAAATACAACTATGTCCAAAAAGAATGGATGAAAAGTGCCACTTTAACAAAATGTATTACAAAATATGATAACTTTACACTAGTAATTTTGTATTTGACAAACACCTATACATTTGAGTCCAAGTTACCCTTCACATTCTGCAAAATGACTTCTAAACTATTCATGAACAATCCCACCAACCACAACCCACCACCCATCCAACCCCAACTTTACCTCCATCCCCACAGTCCACCACCACCGACCACACTCACTTTCACTTTCTCTCTCTATGTTATAACATCTCAGACATGTGAAACTCAAAATCAACACACAAAAACTCAAAATCAACACACAAGGCACCTATATATCAACAATCGCTACCAATACAGGGCCGAGAGGATTAGAAAAGATGCCACCATGAAATACACTCACTGTCCATAGATCTGCTTGGAATCAAGCCTGTCCGACCATGACACCACCACCACCATAACCGCCACCGCTCCCTTGCGATTATGACCGCGGTCGAGACTGAGAGCAACACAGTGATTTCAAACGGAGGAACTGCCAGCGTGCTCTAATCACAGGATCACTAACCACCACCACTCACTAGCGTCACCACCATCCACTGGCCGCCACCACCCCAACCAACCACCGCCACTCCAAACAACAAATCCAAAAAAAAAAATATATATATATATATCTCCAAACCAAAAACCCTTTTCCTGAAAATGAAAAAGGCCAAAAAAAAAAAAAAAACCGAGAAGCTCTCAACAACCATGAATTCACCAACCCACCACCGCCAGTGGCGGTGGAGAAAACAGACTAAACAAAATCAGCTGCAATTGAAGAGGAAACACCACCACCACAACCTCTATCCACCGAACCCACATCAGATTCTCCACCACCGCCTCCAGAAACTGAACATCACTGAATCACCGATTGTAAAAGAATCTAAACCAAACCATGAACCCAAGGACGAGTATAAACCATCTGAAGCTGTCCAATGAGTTCGGTTTTCGGCCGCCGCAACCACCAGCAGTGATGAAAACTGAATCCTTTGTCACAGATGTCGCCACCACCGCCACCACCACCGCAGCACCCGACGCCCCTGCTAAAGCCCCCAAAGAGAGATATCCGATCGATGAATCAGCTGCCTCCTGCAACTAATTGAGGCAAGATTTGGGGGGATGAATGTTCTGAGGCCTCTTTTGTTTTGTAGATAAGAGTGATTACACGATTATAATTTGTCAAAAAGATTGAAATATAATACATCCAGAGGGTCAGATGGTGGAGCAGAGAGAAATCGCCGGTTGATGGTCTGTGTTCTTGGAAACAAAATGGGTCTCTGATTCTAGGTGGTGGTGATGGTGTGGTTGAGTGGCAGAGGGGTGTGGTGGGGGTGGTGGGTAGTGGGCGATGGTGATGGTGGTGGGTAGTAGGTGGTGGTGATGGTGGTAGGTGGTTGGTGTGGTTGAGTGGCAGAGGGGTGTGGTGGGGGTGGTGGTGACAGAAAGGAGGTGCCTTGGTGGCGTCATTTCTGATCCTCCAATGGTGGTTGGTAGACGGCAGTGGTGGGTGAGTGAGTGGATTGCTGTGTGTATATAATAGTGTAGAGAGAGAAAGGAGGTGGATGGAAAACTTAAAAGTAGGAGGGTAATTTGGACCAAAAGAGTATTTTTAATTTTTTGGTAATTACTTTTGTTTATTAGCTCTTTCACTCATATACTATTTGGATACGGTCGTATTTGTAATACCACAAAATAAGTTGTTATTTATTTTATTATCCCATTCTAGAGGACTGATGAAAACCATATAAAAGCTAAAACAATTTGGTACATAAGAATAAAAATAATAAATAATAAATAATAATAATAATAAAAAAATAAACCTTTTACCTCTCGAATGGTAAAAAAATTACCAAGGGATTTTGACATTTTTTCATCATTTGCAGTGACAAACCCGTTATGGATCCAGTACTTAACATTGCTCTCTGAGCAGGCAGCACAGCTCTGAGCAATCTCATTTTCATGATGTGGAAAGATTAAATCCATTCCACCACCATGAATATCAAACGTGTGGCTCAGATAATGAGCACTCATAGCACTGCATTCGATGTGCCATCCAGGTCTTCCAGGGCCCCAAGGGCTGTTCCAACTTGGCTCTCCAGGTTTTGCAGCCTGAACAAATGAAAATATTAGGGATATCATAAAGGATAGAAACGTTAACAAACATAATGCAATTTGCAAATAATTTTTACCTTCCACAAAGCAAAGTCAGCAGGATTTCGCTTTCTTAAATCAACAGCAACCCTTTCACCAGCTCTGTTGTCTTCCAGCTTTCGTCCAGATAACTTACCATAGTTCGGGAAATTATCAACAGAGAAGTACACATCCCCTTCGACTATGTAAGCACATCCATTACTAATAATCTGCCAGAGACATTGGAAGTGTTAAAAATATATATATATTTTTAAATATATAAAGAAGAAGAAGGTCCATATATGAAGAGGCCATGCATGCCAAGACTTGAGATTATTTACATGTTACATATCTCTGCACTTTCCGGTTGTAAAGGTTCTTTACTGGAGCACAAGATAACTGTAATAAATGAAGATATCAAACACAAACAAGAGGGACCCAAATAGGTGTGATCTGGATGAAGGAGGAGAAGTAGTCTAGCCAATAGGATTTATGGTGAAGGTCGGGATGTTTGTTTCTGTGACAGACTTGCGTGGTTATGTGAGTTAATGCATGAATTTTTACTCTAACCTTACTGTTTGACTTGATGGTTGTATTTATAGTCCTAGGTTCCTCGGGTAATATCCCGTTGACCTCTACTTTACCTGGTTCTCGCCTTCACCTAAATCTATAGGTAAGAATTCCTCTAAAACACCTAAGAGGTCAAATCCCTCCTTTCCCCATGCCTTGTGGCATGGCATGTTAAAACACTTAATACAGTCATTAAATGAATTCGGTGATGCACACTGTCGGTGGTTGAAACATTAGTGGCACTAAGCAGAGCATTAATGGTGATTGTAAGGGTCTCTGTCACAGCACATGGTTCACCATCCCTTTGGCTAAGCCTATTACTTGTGTTCAGGCGATATCTGACTTCTTATCTACCAATCAAAAATTCTTCTAAGTATCCCATATGGTAGTTGTAGGTACACACGAGATCCCTACCTTTATCTCGTATTACATCATACAACTTTTGCTCGAGGTCATGTAGTGTTATGCGTTGGCTCTCGAGACTTGATGACCTGGCGTGATGTCAGTGTTTTCCTTGGACTCAAGAATTGTGTTCTCAAGGTTCAGTAACCTGGCATGTCATCAGAGTTTTTCTTTTGGACTCAAGGATCTTGTTTCTCAAGGTTTGATCACCTTGCATGATGTCAGGGTCTTCTTTTGGACTCAATGATTGTGATCTCGAGGTTTGATGAGCTCGCATGACGTCAGGGTTTTCTTTTGGACTCAAGGATCATGTTCTCTAGGTTTGATGACCTGGTGTGGGGCTAGGGATTTTTTTTTTTTTTCCCCCTTTCAACGGCGTTAGCCATGCTGGCAAAGTTTGTTTGACTTTTAAATGGGCCACGTGTATGGCACCTTATGATACCTACACCAGTAATGTTAATACCTCCAACACAAGCACTCAAATTCTTCCACAAGAACACATCAAGTTCAAATGCTGCAAGCATGCAACTGAAAAGTATCTGTCATAAATGCTTTAACGAGCTCATGGAGAAGAAAATTCAGAGTTTTACTTTCCTTAGAAGGCCCAAGAATTCCTTCTTCACTAATACTAAGATACCCGAATGGTAATTTAGCTTACCACAATTGGGCCACAGTACTTGACACATAAGCAGAGCAATGCACAAGACAATGGTTTTAGAGTTTATTGATACAAACTTTGTAATGATGTGGAGAGGAAAATCTAAAATTTGCATATTCAACGTAAAGAAGGATGTCATCCTAATTGTAATAGGCCGCCTTATCTAGGTTCCCAGAGCATTTGACTTTGCAGCAGTCTTGCCTCCACAAATGTCAAAACGAATGCGTGCAGGGCTTGGGATTGAGGGAGTGGGTAGGTGGAGGAGCAATGGGGGTTGTGTGTTTACTTATACAAACTTAAAAATATCAATATTAAAAGAGGCAAAGAAAGCATAAATGAAAAGAAAAACACCTGAGCTATCATATCCTTGATTTGCTCAATGTGACCAGAAACACGTGGCTGATGTGTAGGAGGTAGGCACTGAAGGTCAACCATATCATCAAGATATTCTTGGCAAAATCGATCGCTCAAAGACAGTGGATCCTCCCCGAGCTCATTGGCACGACGAATTATCTGCAAAAGCCCAGAAGCACAGACATAAGCATCCACTTAAATTTTAAGCTCCCAGTTAAATGATTTGAAAAATAGTAAACCCAATTAAAGCTAGCAATGACATAATTCAATAGAAGTTGACATAAAAACACAAAAAGCTGGTGGCCATAATGGAACTGTATTATATGCGCATACAACTTAACTAAGTTGACCTTAGTAACAGAAAGTTAAGCAAAATTTCTAACTTGGTAGAACGCAAAAACCATAGAGTGCATATCCTTCAACCCTGGCTTGACCTTAAGAGTGCGAATTGAATTTTATCCACTGTGGGTGCATAATAAGTTGTAAGTATTTACTTAAGTATATAGAGCTCCACAACAAGCACTGCAGAAGCTAAATATTTTCCTTTTGTACTTATCACCTTCTAAGAAACACTGTTTCACACTACTTATCAAAAAATAAAAATAAAAGAGGAAGAAGAAACACTGTTTCACAAAAGCTTTTCACTTTTTCAAATTAATTTGACTATATTTTTCTACTTTAACCTACATCTCTTGCCTATACAACAATATTTGTTAGTGAATCTCTTTTTGGAATTTCCTGCCTAAATCACTATGGCTGATGATTTGAAGCATAGCAAAACCAATTAAAGGTAGCAATAACATAATTCAATAGAAGTTGACATAAAAACACAAAAGCTGGTGACCATAATGGAACTGTATTATATGTGTTTACAACTTAACTAAGTCGACCTTAGTAACATAAACTTAAGCAAAATTTCGAACTTGGTAGACCACAAAACCCATAGAGTTCATCTCCTTCAACCCTGGCTTGACCTTAAGAGTGTGAATTGAATTTTATCCACTGTGGGTGATAATAAGTTGTAAGTAATTTAATTAAGTACTTTTTTTTTTTTGATAAGTATTTACTTACTTAAGTATTTATAGCTCCACAACAAGCACTGCAGAAGCTAAATATTTTCCTTTTGTGCTTATCGCCTTCTAAGAAACACTGTTTCACATTACTTATCAAAAAATAAAAATAAAAGAAGAAGAAGAAGAAACAATGTTTCACAAAAGCTTTTCACTTTTTCAAATTAATTTGACTATATTTTTCCACTTTAACCTACATCTCTTGCTTAGACAACAATATTTGTTAGTGAATCTCTTTTTGGAATTTCCTGTCTAAATCACTCTGGCTGATGATGGTAACAAAAAAGCAAAACTTCAAAATTTGTAGAATGTAAAAACCATAGTGTATATGCTTCACTGTGGGTGCATAATTAATTTGTCAATGTTTATTTAAGTTCATAGAGCTCTACAACAAGCACTGCAGAAGCTAAATATTTTCCTTTTGTACTTATTACCTTCTAAGAAACACTGTTTTACAAAAGCTTCACTTTTTCAAATTAATTTGATTAGATTTTTCAACTTTAACCTACATCTCTTGCTTAGATAACAAACGTTTGTTAGTGACTCTCTTTTCGGAATTTCATGTCTAAATCATTATGGCTGATGATAGTAGCGCAAATTCTGACCTTGGTCTTCTTAGTGTGTTCTAGTGCATGCATAAAGGAATTCCTATACATTTTCCAAATCAGAAGCATGGTGTCTTGGGTTGGGACATAGTCTATGGGCAGAATGGGAAAATCATTAGGCAAAATTTAATTAATACCCATTAATAAAATTTAAGACTTAAAACTTGGCAGGATCAGTTGTTAGCACAATTTCAGAGTAGCAGATAGATTACCTAGAAAATTTAGGTCAAAATTTGACACATTGCAAATTTGGTTAATGCATCAAACTCCTCACCTTGTCATCTACATCGGTGAAATTCCGCACATATTCAACTTCACAGCCCGAGTATTTAAGGTACCTGCAAAATCCCAATTCATTTCAAGCAAGATTGTAGTTTATTGGCAAAAAGATGAGAAAAAAAAAAAAAAATGTTGTTCATTAGCATCCAGAACTTGATACCCAATCTATTATGTTTGAATTGAACAGTAAATACTCATGCATGTATAATTCAGGCACTTGATCTAAAAGATTACTTAAATTTTTGTACCAAATATGGATGAGCGACTAAGCAAAAGAACCTTACAGGTGTTTAAATTTGGACACATTGTTAGCATTTTGAACTTGAGGTCATTCATAATTGCCTATGATGAAGGCACCAAATGGATATAGGTTGAAAAGTATACCATAATCCATACCGATATCCCATGGTTTTGAGAACCAGTAGATTCTAATTTATTTTGTCGCGTTGAATTGCAAAAATCTTACTGAAGTTAAAAATTCCTCCAATATTAATCAGTATATCCTACAAATTCCTCAAAATGTTTTCTGAACGCTTCATTGAGATGTGGCCCGAGAAAAAATGAATGGAGAATGATTTTCTATAAGAATCCTTTGCTTAAAAATATTGTCGTTTTAAATCTTCAAAAAGCTGCAAGTTAAGGACAGAATGTCGGAGCATTTATAGTTTCTTGTGTTGGATGGGGTCAATTATATAAGGTAATCTTGTGTTCTGGGTTTCTCTAAGGCTTATGAACAGCCTCTTGAGCAAGAAAACAAAATAGACCGTAAAGGGGTCAATAATACGGTTATTTGACTGCTTTAAGTACTCTCCATGCCTCTTTCCTTATACCGTGAGGCCTGGAAGTTGCTTTGGCACTCTCAATACCTTCTTCTTTCTTTTTCATTTTAGCTCCTCATCTCTTGTCAACGAGAAATTTTAAGACACAATGCACCTTTCTCCTTTCTCCTATCTTCTCTCTCCTTTCTTTCTCGCTCTATATCTAATTTTAAAAACCATTGCTTTATCTGTGCACCACTTCTTTACAGATATTTTTACGCATGCCAAGTTATGTTAACTTATGTTTCAATCAAAAATGGACAACCCTATTGCCATCCTAATCAAATTTCTAATTCACTTGGGTGATTCAATACTCAACAGTGTGTTCCCCCATTTTTTTTTTACATTAACACTCTCCTAATACTCATCACCAAGGGAAATCTGTGTAACATAGCCCAGAACAAGACAACACCAATCAATAATAAAAAATTAAAAAAACTTCTTAAGAATAAACAAAGAAGTACAACAGCGGTACTAGTGACACCCCCTAGTAGATTAATATCACAAGAACAAATTTCCCATTAACATTTTTTTTTTTCCCTTTTGACGTCACTAAGTTACATATTTCTCAACACTAATCTCCATTTCTTTCTCTAAAATCTCAAATACTCATCTTCGTATTGGATTAGTTGCAATCACAATTAGTCAGTACACTTCAGAAGTCATCAACACTATTCGAATTAATTCAGAACTATTGCAAGACAAGGATTTTTTAGATAAGAAATGCAATTCACTTTCCTCTTCTATTGATTAATTTTCCAATTAATTAGAACCGTTGGAAGGCAAACATAGATGACATTACAAATTTCCTTCACTTTCATCTTCTATTTGCTATCTTCCTAAAAATTATTATTCGATGAAGTAATAAACCACCACAATTGCAACGCCACAATCTTTAGCATTCTAGTAGATAGAAAATTGCAAATACATATGCATAAAGATATATATATAGAGACGGACCTGTAGAGGACATCGAAGGCGACATAGGCGCGAGCGTGGCCGATATGGCTGAAATCGTAAGCTGTAACGCCGCAGACATACATGCCAACCTTGCCAGGCACTTTGGGGACGAAGATCTCTTTCTGTTTCGTCATGGTGTTATACAACATCAACTGTTCTTTCTCCATTGACACAGAACTCTCTCTCTCTCACACACACACCAATTTCAGCAGAAACCCTAACCCTAACCACCTATCAGCTCGCAGATTTATAGCATACTCTGAAATGAAAATGGTTTTAGGGTATAGAGAAAATGTTATACGTTGGGAATTTTGTGCTCTACAGTCTGGATTCGTTATCGTGTGAATGGAAAATGCGCAATAACTTTTACTTTTATCTTTTTTGAGCAATACTAAAGTTCTTTCAATTTTTAATAAAATCGATAAGTTAAAAATAAAAAATATGTTAAATTTCTAAACGACTTATTAATCTTTCATTTATATCCTTCCTTTAATTTTAGGGAGTAATTAATTTTTTCCTTTTTAAGTTTTAGTTAATGAATATTACATTATGGATTATATTATAATTAATTAATTTGTAATATTTCATTATGACTTAATCCGTAAGAAAATTTAAAACGTGTTTAAATAGTTAAACAAAAAAAATATCAATTACTTACCCAATCTAAATTATAATTATAATTATAAAATTTTATTTAAATTTATTAAGGCTATAAATGGAAGTTTTTTTAGTGGCAGTTTTTTTTTTAATAAAAAATTTGAGAACTAAGTCTTTATAATTAGGTTATTAATTGTAATTGTAGTAGCAAAATTAAAGCTGGTCCCTCCTAAAAAAAATTTAAATCGCTATTAATGGTACATATTTATGGTATTAATTGTGATTCTAGGTAGAAAAATTAAAAAAATAATAGTAATTCTTTTCATTTTTTCTTCTTATATTATATATAAACATATTTTTAAAAGTATATATTAAAAAGGCATTGGAAAAATTTATTTGGCCCCAATTGAACATTCACGCTCCTAGTAAGTAATCCAATAAGTAAAAGTCGCAACACACTAACACAATTTTAAGTATGGGTTTGATTTAATTGTATTCTATTGTAATCATGTCGATTCAAATTAACACAATAATTGATCGTGTTTTGTTTGTACGTGTGCTTGTTAAAAGTGACTCGTTTTAATAAATATGTTGAATTAAACCTATCATATTCATATTATATTGTGTTTGTATTGACCCATTAAATAACAAATTTATTTTCAGACACATATTACTATCTAAGACTGGGTTGCACTTCCTTCATGGCCCAAGTCCTCTGGCTAGTGCTGCAGACAGTTAGGCTTGAAATGAACTGGCCCAATGTAAAATTCGCAATAAATGGGCTTGATTTGAGCTTAGCCCAATATCAGTTATAAGTTCCACAGGCCCCAACAGGCCCCAGAAAAGTTCATTCGATAAAGTCAGCTCATTTTTATTCTTTACTTTTATTACTATTATTATTTAATTAGTAAGAAACTAAGGCACTCATTTATTCACCATATCAAGACTCACACGTTTTGTGAGTGATAACCGAATCGATCAATCAGCTTTATTCTACGCAACCATTTTTCAACATCAGGGCTTACATGTTTCATGAGTGATCGGTTTGGATCGAACCGGTCTATAACTTTATTGTATGATAAATATTTTTATTATCAAATTTCATTTAATTAAGAGTGTTTTTATTTTTATTTTTCTCAAAGGGCAAATAGTTCAGAGGGATATTTTGTATTTTACCCAATTTTATATCTCAACATGTTAACAATTTAACTTTGTTAACCCATGCCCTTCATACCCTTTAATTTTCCATGTTACAACTAAAAAAATGAGCAAAACACAAGGAACTATGCATGAGTGAGGATTAGGCATGGCATGCAATTTAACAAACGTATCAATTAAGTCAGGAGTGCGATTCGAAAATGAAACTTTAAAAACTTATCTTTCAAACCCTCTCATCACGGCTATTATTACATAACTTATTATTATACTACTACGCTATTAATTATCTCTATACCAAATGTTTGGTATTGTGAATCTTCATTTTGGCAATAGTCAACAAAAGCATCACAACCACATTAAGTGAATCTTCCTTGGGAAATCACCACTGTTGGCATGCATATATCATATCATCAAAAGAAGATAAAAAAAGAATCCATATACTCTAATTAGTGATGTTGTATCAAAAACTCAATGGTCATACATACCATTCAACTTATGATGCATGAGCAAGACCAAAACTGATGTCTTCCATTACCAGAGCATGGACAAGATATATATATATATATGAACACACTGTGTTCTGTTTTTTGTCCATGTCTTTGTCCACCCACTAAAATAGAAGCCACACAACTAACACCAGGGAGTTGGTTTCGGAATCCATTTTGTCCACCCACTTAATAGATTATTGACAACCATTTTCCTGCATCTATTTAAGTTGCACTTATACAACACAGTGCTGATACAACAGAGGATCCGTACAAACCGTACTTAGAGTCTAATTGAATTCAATCATATAAAAATTGTGTATTGTATAGCATTGGACGGCTCAGATCATTCACACATATGAGTGTTTCACACATGTAATTGATCGTAACAGTCCCTATTTATAACATGATATTGTTACGAGAGAGAATCCGTGTTCATATTATTAACCGGAGAAGACAACCATGAAATTCAAAATTTATGTAGTTGAGAGAACATCCAATCACATTCAATAAATTGAAAATCTTATTGGAAAAAAAATAATAATAAATACAAAACTTCCATTAGGACAGATTAAGCTGACTACACCAATGCCATTGGTCTAGAAAAACACCCTTTAGCTTCTCAAAATAAAACATTAATTTCACAACAAATGAAAGCAAATCAAACAGTGTCTCCACAAGTCTAAAATTCCTGAGGAGAACATAGCCAAAAAGGAATTAACAAGTCCTTGAACAGTGTCACAGGTCCAAAATTCAACTCAGCTGCAAAGTTGATTCCTGCCTCTGCTTCCTCATCTCTTCATAAAACCTCTCAATAAACCTCTCTGCCTTCTCATCAACAGAGTCTTCTTCGCCGCCCGAATCCGAGAACTCTGACAATTCTCTTGTCAGCACTTCATCTTCAATGCCAGGCAGAGTCTCCAATGGGGACTCTACATCTCCCAAACACCTGCACAAAAAGAACATAGAGTATATGTCTCTATTGCTCTTCTTCTTGATTGGCTGTTGACTGTGGTAGTAGTGAATGAGAGGAGTGTTTGAAGGAGAGAATTGGTATTCTTGAATGTACCCATTGTTGTAATGCTTGAGAAGCTTGAACTTCTTGAGTCTGCTGGTTGATTTCTTGATGAAAATGAGTTTTGGGATGATGGGTTTTCTCATTTTGGCAATGAGAATGGATAATTTGAGGAGATTTGAGACCTTTTGGAAAATTGGTGATCTCTTTTTGGGCATTTTTATGGTTTGAGAAAGGGTTTGGGTTTTTAGGGCTTTTGGTATAGTGCAGGTTTGTTCTTGGGGTGAGTGAGGGGGCTTTTAATGGTGTAAAAAGGTGTAAGAAATATGCAGATCTGAATGGTGGGTGGTGGGGAGCTAGGCTGGATAAAGGTTGAGCGGTCGGTGCCATTTTGGACTTACTTTATGCAGATAAGCAGGTAGCCGTTGAAGACCCAACCCTTTGTTTTTGAACCTCTATATATCTATATATATATATATATATATATAGTATAACACATATATATAAGGCAATTCCATTCAAAATTTAAATAGTCATATATATATATATGTGTGCTCAGACCAGGATTAGTTAATTGTCATATGTAGTAGTGTTTTGGTGTATAGCAACAAGTTTGTTTGAGGGACTGAAAAGAGTTCTTGATGAAGTAACAAGTACTTATTTCATTAGTTAAAGTCTTACTTTATTATATTTTTTCCTATTTTGTATAATAATGTCTCAGTTATATATAAATTTCAATACCAAAATACAAACTTACCTAAGAGGAAGTCAAATTACAAAAGCATATGTTTATACCAATCAAATTATAAATGTGTTACTTGTGTTTGATAGCATCGAATCTACGTCTTAAATTTGAAATTGAAGACAATTCAGTTTAGAATTTTAAATTAAGTTTCCTCCGATTCCAAAATTAAAAGCATCAAATACATGTTGAATTTATTCTTTAAAAATGTTGGTGATATTGACATATAATATCAATCCTTTTAACCCTGCATATTATATGTTGTGACATACTTGTTTTACAATTATTATTATTTTTTAATTTGAACAAAAAATTTCATTCCTTTTGAATGAGTTTTATTTATTTATTTATTTATTTTATGACTACAATAACTTAATTTTAATGGACTACTGTTATTTTGCTTTGATGGTATTATATTGGCTTATACAGTCAAGTAGCAATAAATAATCAATTAATTAAAGGTTCCAGAACAAACTTTAGAAACGAGAAGATTTAAGATAGATAGATGTGAGTGGAATTGAATACATAATATAATTTTAGTACAATTAATAATACAAATAGAAACATAATGAAAAATCAAGGGTCAAAAACACCAATTTTATTTATTTATTATTATTTAGATTCGATTATTTACAGATTTGGAGAAACTGGACATAATGCTACTCAAAGAATTATGAAAAAGGGAAAATATAATGGAACATGTGTACGTGACCCTAAATAGATAAGATAAAATTTTATGAAGTTAAATTTAGTCGAAATTAGCTGTTAACAATTCTAACTCTACTAATCACCAAATAAAGTGAGGAAATTAAAGTACATCATAGTTATTTTTATGGTATTATGTTGTTTTTATCATTCTGATTTACTTGTTGAAATTTAAATGTCGGGTGAAAGCCGGTGCACCGAAATAGTATCATATTGGTGTGTAGGCATGGAATCCAAACATGCGTAGTTGGGTGTAACTTGAGTTAAACCTCTACAGATTGTATCAAACCGAAGAGGTTTAATATTGTAGTCCATTTAGGCATGTCAAAAGTTGACCAGTATGGTAATTTGGGATGGACGGAGCTGTTGGATCATGAATGTAATGGAAGGTTCCACCATAATTCAAAGGTTGAGATGACCCGGAATACCGTACCCCTAGATAATTAATACTCCGTTTTTAATCCACATAGTCTATTTACTTTTTAGTCCTCAACTATTCAAATCCTTGTAAATTTCAAACCTCTCACTTCTGAGGTGTTGTTTCGGGTGTTAAGACCATTTCCTGGCCGAATAAGGAAACTAGAGAATCAATAAATCATAGGAGTACACATTAAGAAACCTATGCTTTATATATGTGATTTCCACTAGCTGCATATACAAAATAATTGTTTACTGTGTGTTCCCGAAAAGCCCTCCAAAGTACAAAGAATTATAATGTCTAGTATTTAATATTATTGAAATTAAAATACATAAGACATAGGAGAACAAAAATAATATATGTATGGTCGAATTTTTAAAGACAAATTTTTTATTAATAAAATATATATTATAATCAAACATATCTGTATTCGTTATTTTATTTTATTTTTTTGAAATTTTTTATGCCAATTTTTAAAACATTTTTAAAGAAGAAAAGTGAATTATATCCATATGTTCATAGACATGTATTTTTCCACAGTATTTTACCATCTATATGGTTGATATTATTGGCTTTCTTTGGGATTTATTATTAGGTTACCTAGAGGCTAGGATTTAGATTTGTTTTATCGGTTTTATATATATATATATATATATATATATATATATTCCTTTTTTTATACTTGAGCTTATTTTTGTGGTTTGGCAAGAGATATAGTAGTGAAAAATGAAGGATATGAAAAAATTTGTAGTATTTTTGAAGTTTTGTTAGAGCAAAAAGGATATATATATTATATTATATTATATTAGGCATAACAAAATTTCTCCTCAATACGTATAAAATTTTTTTTTGTCCATGTTGGAACTAACAATTATATAATTTCTTTTTATCACTCTAAAATAAAATGAATTTATGCATAAATTTTTAATTAACGTTCTAAGAGCCTGTAATTTTCAATCTTAATGTGTTTTTTTTTTTATAAGAGTAACAAAATATTGATTCAAGACAAATCACTTAAAATTATTATTTCATTCAACATATATAAGGTCAATTTAGATAATAATCACATTTTCTTGATAATAGGTTAATTGTAATTTTGACTCATTTTCAAGTCCAAGGGCAATTCCGTAATCCCTGCCGGACAAGTAAACAGAAATCATTAGCTCCTGGCGCGTTGTAGCTGTTCTGAGTGTATATGATCAAAACGAATCCAGGTCCGTTGGTACAATAAAACCCTATATAGAACCCTCATCTCACCACACCACCAAAGAAGAAAATTGAAATTTTCCCTGAAATTTTCTGCCAAGAAAACCTTTGAGAAATTTTCCGGGAAAACAGAGTAATCGGAGAGGAATAGACAGTATTTGCTTTGGTTTATGATTTTCAATCTGCAATGGTGATTTCAGGTGAAGAGAAAGTGGAAGAATCAAAAAAATGGAAGGCCATGGAACCCAAAAAATCGAACCCTCTGCATAATTTCACGACGCCGTCTCTGGATTGGAACTGTCGAAAGGTAATGGTACCTATCAAACTGAACTCAGACGGTGCAATGACTCGTGTCTACCGCAAGCACTCACCTTTTGAGTCACTCGACAAGGGTTTTGTGATCAGGCGGCGGCGGAGCGAGGCCGAACCGGTTAACCTTCCGTCGGGTCCGGCGACTTTTAAGAGTTCGGACAGAGTCGGTGGAGGGACCAGGTCGCCGGAATTGGGAGGTATTGCCACCACCGCGACGGCCACTCGGAAGGGCAATAAGGAACAGAGCAAAAAAATATCGGTTGCTCTTTCTTGGAAAGAGATTCAAGAAGATTTTAAGGAGATGGGGGAGAAGTTGCATCGGAGGCCGAAGAAGCGGTCTAAAATCGTTCAGAACCAATTGGATGTAAGTATCATTGTGTGTATCTATGTGTATCATTGTGTGTATCTATGTGATTTCGAAATTCAAAGCATAACATAATGATTTGGGTATAACCAAATTATTCATATTATCAATTTTCAATTCATATTTTGAATTATGAATAGATGTTACTCTCTCTCTCTCTCTCTATATATATATATATATCTTTGATTGTAAAATCTATTCATTGTTTATTGTTTGCAGTCGCTTTTCCCAGGCTTGTGGTTGACGCAGATTACAGCTGACCGTTACAAAGTTCCTGATGATCCTCAGGCTCGAAAAGTAACTACTGTTCAATTTTGAGCTTTGATTTACATTGATTAAGCCATCACCCAGTGTTCGAAAAACTTAATCTTTGTTATTTGCAGTAATTAACAATTTCCTTAAATTTGTTACTGTACTTGTATCTTATTTAGTATTTATTTGTTTTGCAGAGGTAGCAATAAAAGGATTGCTGCTGTTTGTTTGAGCTAGGTGGTCCTTCTGTTTGCGGACAAATGGCAGAATGTAACCCTTTGTGTAGTACTTCACCCACCATCTTTGTGAATTGGGAATTGAATCTCCTGGAAAAATTTGTTATATATTTCAGGTTTCTCTGTGTGTACTGGAATAGGTTAATTGTTAATAGAGAGACAAGATGATGTATATTACCTTTTTAGATTGATTGCCAATATTTTATAGTTTGATTTTGGCAATATGTTTATATTTGCTCAGTATTGCGAGCCTTCCTCATTGAAACACATCTTATCTTCTAACATTGTAGATATTGCGAATTTGAAATAAGAAAATAATCTCTCCATGTACGAAAATATGTGTGTATTGAAATAGGTTAATTGTTAATATAGAGACAAGATGAGTGTATATTGCTTTTTCAGACGGATCACCAATGTTTTATAGTTTGATTTTGTCAAACTGTGTATATTTGCTCAGTATTGTGAGCCTTTCTCATTGAACCACATATTTTTCTCTTCTAACACTGTGGATGTTGCGGGTTTGAAATAAGGAAATAGTCACGGAAGTAAGGTTGTTTTAAACCATTGAACTGATTTTCTGTTTACCATAGTCAATAAAAGTTTTGTTGACTTACCAATGATTAAGAAATTGCTATGTTATTTTGCTAACTACCATTTTAACATTCAATGGTTATCATGTATTGAAGGGGTGAATTATTGCTCGAGATCATTACTATATATATATATATATGGACTTGGGAGGCATCCTTATGTTTGCTGGTGGATCTTTTATTATTTGCATTTGAAAGAAACAGAGAGGCATCAACAGAGCAGTTTGATCATGAAAAACGTGTGAATAATGTTATTTTTATTGATGTATAATTTATCTATCTATTTTCTCATATTCCAAAATGTTGTTTTACATGTAAACTTTTTGTCTCATTAAAAACTCAAATTCTCAATCATTTTTTGGTTGGCTCGAATTTCGGCGGTTTGGTACCAACTGTAATAGTTCTTATTAGATGAGATTAACACCCAACTTATTTTTGCTCATTTTACTTTTCATAACACAAGATATGTCATATGTGTCATTCCATTTGGTAGAGACAATATGTGGATAATTATATATATATATATATATATATATATATATATATATATGACTATTTAAATTTTGAATGGAATTGCCTTCCATAAATGTGTTATACCATATGTATTCTCAGACCAGGATTGGTGAATGTTACCTATGTGCAGTCAAAAGAGTGATGCGTTTTAGGAGTTGCTCAAACATGGCTACTTGTCATGTGTGCGAGTGTTTTGGCATATAGCAATTTTTATGGTCACAAGCAAGTTTGTTTGAGAGATTGAAAACAGTTCTTGATGAAGTTACAAGTACTGATTTCATTAGTTAAAGTTTTTTTATTTTTATTATTATATTTTTTCCTCTTTTGTATAATAATGTCTTGTTAAATAAATTTTAATACCAAAATACGAACTTACCAAAGGGGAAATCAAATTACAAAAACATATATATCAATTAAAGCATTTAACACCCATATAAAAGCATCTTCAATTCAAAAAGCTATATTTTCATGCCAAATCTGTATTTTGAGAGCATCTTTAATGCAAAATGCTATATTTTAATGCCAAATCTATATTTTAAGAGGAGCTACAGTGTAAAAATGCTATATTTTTTCAATTACGCTTCAATGGTGCATGCTCCAATGGTGCGTTACATCCAAAATGTTATTTTTTTATATAACAACCATTCTATATTTTGAGAACCCATTGGAGTGGCTTATTTTCATTTTAGCAACTTTTAACAATATCAAAATATGAGAAGTCTTTTGAAAACACATTGGAGTGCCTTATTTTCATCCACTTGCTATATTTTGAGTTTGAGAGACCATTTGAGAGCTGTTATATTTGATAAAGGTCTTTTGAGAGGCCATTGGAATACCTTATTTTCATTCATTTGCTATATTTTGAGTTTGAGAGGCCATTTGAAAGGGCATTGGAGATGCTCTAACTCCCTATAGATTCTGAAAATTACAGGAACAAATAAAGAACTCCCGTCAATTAACCGTTAATAGGGTGATAAAAGTACTAAAATGCTCTTTCTACAATTAAAAATATATATAAAAAATAAAAATTTAGTTAATGTAAAATTACTATAATATCCTTTATATTTTAGATTTATATACAAAAGGGAAGGGCGTTTTGAGAATCAATAAATGGTAATTTTAATATTTATTATATTTAATCAGTCATATGCCTTGACATGTTTTTTTAACTGTGTATTTTTAATGGTAATAGCTGAAAAGTCCTTCTTTATAATATTTTTAAATTCTTAAGGGAGTTATATGCTCAAAGTAGTAAAAAAAAAAATGAGTGTTATTTACTCAAAACAAACCTTTGAGGTGTTTTAGATACTTAGTCCATCAATTAAATATAAATGTATTATTTTTGTATTTGATGACATCGAATCTGCATCTTAAATTTGGAATTAGTTTTAGAATTTAAAACTTAGTTTTAGAATTTTAAACCAAGTTTCTTCCCATTCTAAATTGAAAGCTTTGGAATGCCTATTGATATATGGTTGAGATCAATAATTTTAACCCTGCATAGCATATGTTGTGACATACGTGTTTTACAATTTTTTTTTTTTCTTCCTAATTTGAACAATAAATTTCGTTCCTTTTGAATGAGTTTTATTTTTTTTTTTTCCGACTACAATAACTTAATTTTAATGGACTACCGTTATTGTGCTTCCCCTGTCACCTCTAATAAATAAAAAAGGAGAGGGTAAAATGAAGGGTTAAGTGTAAAACATCCCTCTTCTACTATCGATATAGTGCAAAAAGATCCATGTGTGGTATAAAACCTTTCTATACTATCAATTTGGTGCAAATAGGCCCCTGGAGACTTAAAATGACAATAATATCCTCACTTCTGTTGAATAAATTAATAACTATAAATACAGGCCATGTAAAATGACCCTTTTGTCCAATTTGTGTAAACTTGTATTTGTTTGGGATAAGAATAAAATAAACCTCAATTTGTATAATATTGGAATAAGTTAAACCAAACAAACCTAAAACCGGATATAATAAAAACCGAAATAAAACAGTCTCCTACTATATAAGACATCCTTAACCATTTTCTAACCGGAAGTGAGAAAATGTATTCTCGTAAGAGAAGCTGAGAGTCCAAATTTCTATTGGGTAGAGGGAATTGTCTTGTACAGACTCCCTCATAGGTGTATCAAAGATCACAGGAAGAAGATTTCAAAAGAAGTACTTCCGGGAATCGTTTTGTAAACCATCCTCTGTTCCAAATGCAAAGTCTTTGGTCATGCCACCCAGCTCCTGGCTGTTTAAGATGAATATGTACTTGACACCCTTACTTTTGAAAGTATAAAAAATAGGTAAAAAATATCTTGTAGGCTGATATATCAAACTGTGAGTGACCGTATAAATTCTAGCTGGAAAAAATTGTTAAATGTCAATAAATGAATTCATCTTAGAGTAGTGTAGTCCTATATCACTATTGAAAAAGGTTACTGGGGATGGATGGATGGATTACATAATTGAATTTTGTTGTATGGGTTTCCTTACTTAGAAACAGAACATGGACCCCAAAATTTCGAAATCTTTGGGATTAGGATGGCATGAGAAGCACAACAGAGCATGCAGAGAATTTCAGCTCCAATTTTGGTTTTATGAGTTCAGGGTAACCGTCAGACTGTAATTCAATTAATTTTATTTCGTGACTTTATTGGATATTAGGAGGAAACTGACTCCCTTTTAGTGATTTGTTGCTCAACATATATTTGACTTTTGGAGGTGGAATTTGTGAAACTAGCAGTGGCAGAAATTAGAAAATCTTAGTGCTATTAGTGTGATGCAATTGAAAGCGGAGATGGCATGTTTGGAGTAAATTAATAAAAATTTTGAGACAAAAAAATATAAATAGTCTGCAATTTTATATGCTGATACAGAGAAATAAAGAAATAAAGAGAGGGAGAGAGGGAGGGAGGTGGGTTGGGCATATGTGTTCGGGGCGAAATGGAAAAAAAAGGGTAAAATAGGGTTTTCATATTTACTTTTTGTTAAAAAATAGTTAGAAAGTTTTATATGCACATTTTTTAAATTTTATGAACTGAAATGTATATTTTCAAAAAGTAGGGACTTATATATTACATGAGTTTTTTTACACTTAACCCTAAAATGAAGTAATGACCCAACACATGGTGTGTTTTATTTGCTTTGATGATATTATATTGGCAAGTAGCAATAAATAATCAATTAATTAAAGCTCGACAAACTTTCAAATAAAGAAGATTTAAGATAGATGTGAGTGGAATTGAATAAATAATGTAATTTTAATACAATGAATAGTACAAATTAAAACGAAATGAATAGGGATGGCAATGGGGCGGGGCGGGGATCTCATTCCCCATCCCCATCCCTGCTGAATTTTTCGATCTCCATTCACATCCTCATCCCCGCTTAAAATTTTACCACCACCCCCATACCCGCCTCCGCCCCCCGCCCCTGACTCCTTATCCCTGTCCCCGCCCCATCCCCGACCCTGATTAACATATATTATTTTTTTAAAAAAAACATAATTTTTCTTATTTTCATATATATACTAAATCTAATTTTGTAATAAATTATTAAATATAAGGTATATTAGTAATTTAACCCTTAATCGCGGCGGAGCGTGGAGGGTTTACCCCATCCCCGCTTCCGTCCCAGACGGGTTTTCAAAACTTACCCCCATCCCCATCCCTATTTACATAAAAAGGTCCCCATCCCCGCTATGAACGGGGCAGGGCGGGGTGAGAACCCGGCAGGGATGGGGAATTTGTCATCCCTAGTAATGAAAAACCAAGGGTCACAAGAAGCCATTTTTTTTTTATTTAGATTCGATTATTTACAGATTTGGAGAAACTGGACATAAAATTACACTATTTATTCAATTCATAAAGAAAGTGAACTAGATTGATCACTTGAATTAAAAGGTAAATTTTATGAATCAACTATTAGAATTGTCAAAAATGTTTGGCGTAAATAAACATATCAAGAAACAACTTATTAAAATGAGTGTAATTTAAATGTTAATTAAGACAAGGGAAAATATATGATAGTTTAAGCGTCTGAGACCAATGAAACATGTGTAGGTGACCTTAAATAGCTGAGATAAAACTTTATGAAGTTTAATTTAGACGAACTTAGCTGTTAACAGTTCTAACTCTCACTACTTTATTTTTAGATTTACCTAACATTATCGACTAATTCCTAAATAAAATAAAGAAATCAAGGTATA